ATAACTATGACTGAAACTTACGGTGAGTACGTTCCAATTCCCGTTTGAAAAGCTATAATGCTTTTGTGTATTTGTACGTGTAAGCTACAAATAAATAAAATTGTGAACTCAATGTTTAAACTATTCCTACTAATTTTCTTTTAAGTTAAAATCTTTAACAATCTCAAGTTCTGTCATTGTAATTTGTTATACCTACCTATGTCCTTTACTGTTACAAACAGTAAGGAGAGACAATGAATGTCACGTAGGTACTGAAGTGATTCTGCTAATATTCTTAGGCGATTCTGCTAACATGGCTTGTGTAAAGTAAAGTGAACTGAAACACTAAATTTTGATTTGTTTGACTGCATGGAGGAGTGATGCTGCCTATTGCTGGTGAGAAAACGTGAGCTCAACACCGGTGCGGCTGCCTGTGCTGACGTCGCTACAGCTACAGTTCATGACTGCGGCAGTAGCTGAGCGTCGATGGTTGGTGGCAGTAGGTGAATTGACTTCGCTTGGACTGCTATGCAAGCTTGGGTCACTGTGTTGTAGAAGCAATACATTCAATGACCAGGCTGGTGAGATCTAATCTTACTTTTATATTTAGTATTCTTTATCTGCTAATTTTTTTGATCAACAATATAGACAGCAGACCTGGTATGAAGCAGTAAGATACTAAGAATATAAAGTTTGAATTATTGAAATAAAAATGAGTAAATGTTTTACAACGGCAACTGCTTAAAAGCTAAGTCCAAGGCTCAATGCATGGGTTACCATTGGTTGTATTTAGAGTAATGTGAAGGATTAGTTTGTGAAACGTTCGTGCTATTGAATACGTTGTACGAAGTCATGAGTATGAATACTGATCAATATCCAACATATGAATGCTAAATATGCTTATCGATTACTGTTAAAAGTTACAGTTAAAGTTAATGGGTTGATGATAAGCATATTACAGCAGCAGTAAAATTGAACCAAGTTTCAACTATAAGTTGTTGGTGTTGTTTGTTACAAAGCAAAATACATTAACTGTTAACAAGTTAACTAATATTAACATTGTTTGTATTCTTATGTTATCAGGCATTATTTGTTATGTTTACACTTGAGAGAGGTCAATACATTAACAAACTTTTACTTAACTTAATGTATGTATTGCGTTTGAAATCTTTAGCCGATGGAGCTGAAATTTTTTTATGTGTTCAGGTTTAGCTGTGAATTCAGCTGAAATTTTACATCTTTTATCAAAGTAATGTAATCCAAAGAATAAAGATTAAAATCAGAACAGGAGAACTGCTGTATGTTGATGAAAAACATATTTCTCTTCTAATATGCACCATTCACCACAAGTTAACAACTTGTGCAGAATTGTGAAAAATGCTACATGTTACTGCTTGAATCATATCTTAGGTAGTTGTACAGTGAAGTACTGTTGTTATAATGGAAGACAGCAGTATGTGTATGTTTCTCCTTAGCAGCGTTACCCTTGATAGTGTGGTTGTTGTACTGTAGTGAAGGTAGGTTGCCAGTATGCACCTCACAGTTACTGTAATCCATAATATGTATGTCCGTTCTGCACTTGTTTAGCAAATTTGTAAATACAGACTTAATTTGGTTTGTCTACCGCATGAGTAACCTCTTGAGAGGCCGAGAGTGCTTTCTACTACCGGTGAACAAGCTGCTGTATGGATCGGTTGTTCCTCCTAGAAACGTGACTAGACTCCGTAGAGCGTCAGGATACATCATTGTATGCTGAGAGAGAGATGATGCCTAATTTGTTATCGTTTTTTGCTTAAAATTTCAAATATGTACACAACCCAGCTTTCAGTGTACTATTTCGAGTTTTTCACCTTGATTTATTACTTGAGAGGTTTCATGCTGGATTTTATGAAAACTCTTTTTATTGTCAGCAACAACGATGTCCACGTATTGAACCGCTAGTGTTACTTGTGTTAGCTGACTGGCGATAAGTAACGTTTACTTGTAGGCATCGTTTTACATATTGACGACATCGTTTTACATATTGACACATAGTTACATTTCTTTTTATATGCAATTTGACATTATTAGCATAATGTGATATTGTTTTTCATTTGAAAAATTTATATTTTTTTAAACTTGACATTTACCTCTATTTTAAACAATTGTTAGTGCTAGGACCGTGCGAGACTTTTCTTTTCTTATTTCTTACTCATACTCTGACAGTTTGAGTATTTGTGCGACCCACGCAAATGTTCTTTAGGTTGGTATTGTTCGTCGAATCACTCAGCCTCATCTGTTAATTGAGCTGACTGTAAACCGACACATACGTACTGCTTTCAGAACGGGTCCGCTCAAACTGTTGTGGTTCTTTCCTCAAAAGGCCACTACAGAGAGAACTTGCACGGTTCTCACACATAATCTTTTTATACATATTTGTCTGGACTTTAAAAGAGACAGACCTCTGAGTTTGTTTCGGCATTTCTTCTCAGAGTAGTCAGTTAGGAAATGTCGACCTCATCGTTCGCTTGATAAAATTGACGTGTAAAAGTCCTGCCTTGTAGTCTATTTGCAGAAATAAATTCACTTGTTTCACATGTGAACCATGTTGATTGCGTGATAAAAAATATTGAAGTAAGTTTTACCGATGATCAATAATCATGCTGATTCGGTGATAATGTATGTGCCTTATCAATGTGTATGATTACAGGATTCCATCAAAAGAATATTTAGAATGGACTAAAAGTCATAGTCAGGTGTGTCCGAGCGGATACAGAACGTCTGACAAGATCGAGTGTGGTGTGGTGTGTAGTGTGGTGAAGGCTACAGCGCTAAGTGTTACGACTGCTAATAGATGGTATACTCGTGTGGAAACCCGACACAGACTGTGGCGGAGTTTCTAGTGCTATGTGGATAGCTTCGGACTGTAGAAATGTGTCCTTCCCACACAATATGGTACGCTAACATTGTGTGATATCTGATGTGTATTGTGTGTGTAATGTGCGTGTGAATAATATGCTAACGTAGGTATTAATTATTACACATGTGTTAGAGACTCATGATATGCCAACGCCGTGCCTATGTCATGTAGTCGTTATAGCAGAGGTAGCTAACGTCGTGCTTCCTCTCTGAGTATGTTTTATGATTGTGAACTATGCTAACGTCGTGCCTATGGTTCACTATTGATTGTGTTTTTTTCCTGTGTTCGTGACTCATGATACGCTAACGTCGTGCCTATGTCATGTAGTCGTTATAGCAGAGATAGCTAACGTAGTGCTTCCTCTCTGAGTATGTTTTATGATCGTGAACTATGCTAACGTCGTGCCTATGGTTCACTATTGATTGTGTTTTTTCCTGTGTTCGTGACTCATGATACACTAACGTCGTGCCTATGTCATGTAGTCGTTATAGCAGAGATAGCTAACGTAGTGCTTCCTCTCTGAGTATGTTTTATGATTGTGAACTATGCTAACGCCGTGCCTATGTCGTGTAGTCGTTATAGCAGAGATAGCTAACGTAGTGCTTCCTCTCTGAGTGTTTTATGATTGTGAACTATGCTAACGCCGTGCCTATGTCGTGTAGTCGTTATAGCAGAGATAGCTAACGTAGTGCTTCCTCTCTGAGAATGTTTTATGATTGTGAACTATGCTAACGCCGTGCCTATGTCGTGTAGTCGTTATAGCAGAGATAGCTAACGTAGTGCTTCCTCTCTGAGTATGTTTTATGATTGTGAGCTACGCTAACGTCTTGCCTCTAGTTCACTATTGATTACTTTACTGTGTTGGTAACTTATGATATGCTAACGTTGTGCCTGTCATGTAGTTGTTATAGTAGAGATAGCTAACGTAGTGCTTCCTCTCTGCCTGTATTTTGAATTATTATGGATCAATGTGTACATGTAGTTGTTTGTGTCGGTAACCAACGACATCCCGATGCAATTTTTATAATTTCAGGTGCAGAAGGTATTAAACTCACACGTCACGTTTTTGGTAATTGATAAGATTAACGATTTAATATGGGTCGATGTGTCTTCGGAAAAAACCGGTGTCCCGACCCAATCCTTATGTTCTCAAGTGATGATTATGTTGTTTCCATGGATCATGTGATACGGTAATATGATGCCTATCATGTGGTCCACATTAACCGAGATAGCTAATGTTGTGCCTCCTCTCTGGCTATTTTTTTTGTGACCTGCGCTAACGATTTAATATGGATCGATGTGACCGCCGGTAACCACCGTCGTCCCGATCCAATTCTTATGTTCTCAGATGCAAACAGTATAGAGTTCACAGCTGAACAAGCTGCCAGAAGCCGCGGTGATGTCCCTGCTACGGAGCGTGTGCTGTAAATATGCGACAGTGCGACACAGGAGCACGAGGACGTGCTCCAGTCAGGAGAGGCCGTGTTAGAAGCATAGACAAAAAGGAACGAAATGTCATCGCGTAGCGGGAAAATATAATCTGTGGTTCGAACAATGAAAAAGTCAAGATGGCGGGAACTCGGAAATTATTGAGACGGCGTATTTGGTGTTGAGGGAATTTTATTCTATTTGAAAGTCAATTTGCCTATTCATGTGTTATTGTTGTTGTTTTTCATTTCAATTAATAGTTATGGTTTAGCTAGTTCTGAATTTGTAATTTGATTTCGATGTTAACAATATATAAGGTGAATTCATGAATTGTAATGGTGGTACTCTTTATTTCTCCTGCCTCCTAAGTTTCTAAAATCCAATGTGGTATAAAACAAATAAGTTACTAATATCAAAGAGTAAGGTGAACTCTATGACAGTTTTTAAGTTTCCTAATATATTTATAAATCTTTGGTTTTGATAATAGAAATGGTATTATTTCTTGGTAGAAAAGTTATTAAGTTGGCAACATAGACTCTTCTTTGTCAACGAGTGAGAAATACATGTCTTTGTTTTCGTTTGCAAAAATTCTTGTCGAAGCGTCGTTGCTTTGTTATGAATTGTGCAGTTTTTGTTTTTAAAGAAGAGAATAAAAGATATAAAAGTGCTCGCGATATTAACTTCCAAGTTAAAAATGTCATCCAGCGAGACTCAGAAGCCTGAGTCTTCTAAGGATAATATATCAAGCAATTCGATCGATGAAGGTTTGCCGAGGGAACTGAGTCAGTTAAGTCTCTCGAGTGGATCCAGCCAGGATGAATTCTTTTGTGACACAGGACACTCAGGGGCTGCCTTAAAAAATATTTTCGGCTATTACCAATCTCAGAAATTGTGCGATGTCGTCCTCATTGCAGGTGGATGCAGGTTTGTTTATTTACATTTTGTTAAAGTAGGCATAAATAAAAGGTCAAGTGTTTCGGAAAAGGTCGTGAACCCGAACTAAACGTTTAATGCCTACACATTCAAAATAGGTAACAAAGATTTTCATTGTTACTTTGACCATGCTTAGCATAAGTTACTTAATTATCACCATAAAATAATTAATGCGCAACAAATATCCCATGCGCTTTCAAAGTGTTCTAGAATCGCTTAATAATTTTATTTTCAACCTCTAACAAAGACTTTGTGAATTGTATTGAATTGTGTGTTTATTTAATCATAATAAACATAGCATTATGGTTGATAAAAGATGGCAAAATAAACAACTTCAAATCATTAAATGCTCTACTTCTAATAATTTTAACGTCAGATAACAATGTATTCACTATATTCGTTATCCATAATAAAAAAGTAAACTGATGACTCACAATTTCATCTGATCTGAAATATACAAAGAGCTACCTACTGACTTCTGTTCTTTGTTGCACATTGCACTCTCATATTTCACAATTATTGCTTGGTGTGTAAGATGATCACTTTCATTCCTTTTAATACCTTGTTATTTAACTGACACCATGAAAGAATGAATTAGCATGTCTTTTTTAACAAATCTTATAACTACCTACCTAGCATTTGCTTTGTCATAAACTATTAATTTATAGTATTGACTGAATGAATACTAACATAATTTACCCTTTTCTTCACAACAGAATACCAGCACATAAAATACTGCTTGCATCATGCAGTGAGTATTTTGCAGCCATGTTCACTGGCTCCTTGCGGGAAGCTCAGTCCAGTGAAATAACTCTTGAAAGAGTTGATCCTCAAGCTCTACAGGATCTAGTGCACTATTGTTACACTGGCACCATAGGCTAGTATCATAGTTTTACTTTTTAATGTTAAGGTGCTTATTATACTGCAGCATTATTTTAAGTTTCACCTCATAGCACAAAACCAACAATACTTGGTCAACTGTAACTGCTAACATTCTTATCAAGAAATTGAATAAAATCTATTTTTAGCTGCAATGTAAGCACTTATGTTCACTTGAACTAAGAAAAGATTGGTCTGATTGGTCATGTATTTTTTGATTTGCAGAGCTGAGAGAGGAAACAGTTGAGGTGCTCCTTTCAACGTCGAGCTTGTTGCAGCTTAATTCTGTTACAAATGCTTGTTGCGCTTTCTTAAAGAAGCAGCTAGACCCGTGCAACTGTCTGGGTATAGCCTTGTTTGCTGAACAACAGTCATGTCTGGATTTACACAAAAGCGCTTTAAAATACACTTACCAAAACTTCATGCAGGTTAAGATTTTGTTTTATTTTTTTCTGTATTACTTTCCTTTTTTTTCTTACCATTTACTTCCAGAAATGTTAAAAGTGTATGTTCAATACAATGTTCTTATCTACCCATTTCTAATACTGACAATGATGTAAAAAGAAAACTAAAATGCTTTATTCTATTTTATTCAGGTGGTAAAACATCAAGAGTTCCTATCGCTGCAGTCAGACCAACTGTCCAGTTTATTAAAATCTGATGACCTCAATGTAGTTACTGAGGAAAATGTATTTGAGAGCTTGATGACTTGGGTTCAGCATGATAGCGCAACCAGAGAATGCCATTTGTCCACTTTACTGAAGCTTATTAAGCTGCCTCTTCTTTCATCTGAGGTAAAAATTAAAAGTTTTATTTAACACACCCTCATCATTTGTTTATTTCATCTATTATTTACCTTTCAATAATAAATTAATTTAGGACTTTCAATAAAATAAATGATTTTATTATTATTTATAAAAAATATTAAAATTAAAATAAATAAATAACCCCCTACCTATTGACACATTCATCTCATATCTAATTGATATTGACAATAATTTTTTTGCAACCCTTCTCAGTAAAAGTTTGACTAGTACACAAAAAACTGCATACCCTTTATAGCCACCAACAATATGGGTACTAAATGAAAAGGCTTGACCAGTGGAATACAATTACAAAACAAACAACTTTGAAGCGGTTTTCATAGACTGCCACGTTTCAAATCTATACTAATATTATAAAGCTTAAGAGTTTGTTTTTGTTTGTTTGTTTGAACGCGCTAATCTCCGAAACCACAGGTCCGATTTGAAAAATTCTTTCTGTGTTGGATAGCCCATTTATCGAGGAAGGCTATAGGCTAAAATATCACGCTACGATTAATAGGCGCCCAGCAGAGTGAGTGAAACCGCGCGGAAGTAGCTAGTTATTTATAAAACTTCTAATTTGTAATGAACAAATTAGCACTACCTCACATTTCTTTCGAAATGTTTCGTGCTATATAACAGTAGATGTTTATGTCCTACGATTTTTTTATATTCTTTTTCATAAAAATAGATGATAGATACAAATCTTCTTACCTTATGGTAATTTAGCTATATACTGAGGCTCTTTTTTCTTTGCAGTACCTTATTGACAAGGTGGAACAGGCTTGTGGAAATGTACCAGAATGCCAGCCCCTCATCATGGAGGCTGTCAAGTGGCACCTGTTGCCTGAAAGAAGGTCGCTCCTATTCTCACACAGAACCCGACCACGGACATCGACTATTGGACGGCTTTTGGCTATCGGCGGCATGGACGGATATAAGGTTTAAAAAATTAGATTTAATTTTTTCATTATATCAAAAAAATATCTTAATTTCGGATTTGTGACAATTCTTGTAGTTTAAAGATAACATTAAGGATAAACTTAATACCATTAGTTTATCCCCATTACCTAGGCCTATTAGGAAACGAAATCAACCTATAAGGTACTTGATTTCGTATGGGATGATTAAATTAATTAAAATAATTTATTTTTAGGGCGCCAGTAACATGGAGATGTACGACCCTCGAACGAACACATGGACGCCATTTATGCGTATGGGAGCCAGAAGACTGCAATTTGGTGTTGCAGTCATGCAAAACAAACTTATCGTTGTTGGCGGCAGAGATGGACTTAAAACTTTAAATACGGTATTTTATTTTACCATTAATTTTATTATTTTGCGAGGAAAGGTTTTAAAAATAATTATAAATATTTTTAGGTTGAATGCTTCGATTTGACGTCTCTGAGCTGGAGTGTGCTGGCACCTATGAACACCCATCGGCACGGACTTGGTGTCGCAGTTTTAGGCGATGGACCTAATTCTCCTGTCTACGCAGTGGGTGGTCACGATGGATGGATATATTTAAATTCTGTTGAAAGGTAAATAATAGTTATTATTATATAAAAAGCAAACTTGTGAGGTTTGAAACTGAAATTGTTAATTTATTATATTAAAAACCAAAATCGGTCATCAAATATTCCGCTAAAAAGTTACTAAGTAAGTCTGAATACCGACTAGTTTCGTAATACATACATAAACAACGACTATTAGTAAAGCTACCTCTAAATAGATACATGCGCTGTAATAAACATTATAAAATAATTAGTTTAATTTGTGTTAAGATGGGACGCGTGTTCCCGAACATGGACGATCGTGTCTCCTATGACGGGGGCGCGTAGTACGTGCGGTGTGGCGGCACTCCGCGGCCGGCTGTACGCAGTGGGCGGTCGGGACGGCGGGGCATGTCTGCGCTCCGTCGAGTGCTACGACCCAGCCACCAACCACTGGACCAACTGCGCACCTATGACCAGGCGACGCGGAGGAGTTAGCGTAAGTACCGCTATATTTTATTTTTCGTATGTCATAATTATAAAATATTTATATGTTATATAATTACTAGCGACCCGCCCCGGCTTCGCACGGGTGCAATATGCATATACAAACCTTCCTTAAGAATCACTCTATCTATTAAAAAAAACCGCTTCAAAATCCGTTGCGTAGTTTTAAAGATCTAAGCATACATACGGACATACAGCGAAAGCGACTTTGTTTTATACTATGTATTGATTTTGTCGTAATAGTTAATAACTTTGTTTTCCGAACAACACTTTACAGGTTTGTGCAGCAGGTGGCTACTTATACGCCCTGGGAGGTCACGAGGCGCCCGCCAACACTGTCGGCGGCCGCCTGGCCTGTGTCGAGCGATACGACCCTGTAGCAGACACTTGGATTCTTTTAGCACGCCTCTCTTATGGCCGAGATGCTATTGGCTCTTGTCTACTTGGAGACCGAATCGTTGCTGTTGGTGAGAATATGTTTCCATTATCTAAATTTCTTCCATTTATACTAGAGAACTTCCAAGTCTCCATAAGCTTATAATTCCCTCAAACGTTATTCTTAACATGACATTATCGCTTTAGGTGGATATGACGGAGTCCAATATCTGTGCGTGGTAGAGGTATATGATTCTGAGTCCAACTGCTGGCGTAAATTGGCTCCTCTGAGCACTGGACGAGCTGGCGCCGCCGTGGTTTCCGTACCGCCGCCCAAAATGTCTTCTGATATAACGCCATCCGCCGGCCGGTGGATACTGCTAAATTTGTTCCGATATTCTCAATGTCTGACCCAGAAGATGATGATGACTATTAAATACCGTTTACATTCAAACAAAATGATTTCTTAAGGTTAATTGATATCGTATTTGATCTTCGTATGGATAATAAAATCGCTCGTCAGTGACAATTAGTAATTTTGGAAAAAGGCGTTGTCCGAGATAAATAATAAAAGAAAATATAAAAAATAAAGACTAAATTCTATTTCAGCTAAATTGTAAATTCATAACTGTCGGATTTCATACTAGCAGTGAAGTGTTAAATAAATAATTCCCTCTTGGTAAGATTAGGCATGTTCAATAATCATATCATCATATTTCATGAATATCATAATTAATGTAATCAACTTAATGTAACCATAATAATGATTCTTAATGTATTGCGTTGTGAAGTAATGGCAACCAATTTTCATTTCGATCTCAATATCAAAGTCAAATTCAATCATAGTGACTTAATGTTCTAATAATGTTAGTTAACGATCTTTTATGAACCACCTATACGTATTCCGTATAGTATGGGTAAATGTTGGAACACTTTTTCAAAAGGAGTTTGCTTTGATCTTTTTTTATTTGCAAGACTGTATTATAAATGTTTGATTCCATTATCGAATTTAAAGGCTTAAACTAGACTTTTCTTAATTATTAGGTGTTAAAAAAATTAGATACATTTTCGGCTTGGTGTATGTTATTTGAGAATCGTAATATTACTATATTCACTTGTATTTTTCGATAGATTTCTTAATGTAGGTACCCAATGGTAGAATATGGGCCCTGTTTCACCACTTCCGATTTTCTGTTTGCGTAACTGACACATTTAATATGGAATGATCCACCGGATACGAATACCTAATCGAATTTTTTGAGGTGGTGAAACAGATCCTGAAGTTCTTAAGTGTATATTTGAAATATAGTTTGGTTATAACAATTATTATAAGCTGTTAAAGAACATAAGAAAATGTTCTTAATTGGTACTTAACTGATCTCAGTACTAAGAATGCAAAATAAATATATAGGAGTTTTTAGTTTTAGTTGTACCTATATTTTTCATAAGATTACTGGTCCAAATCTTTCATTGACTTAAAATTCTTGAAATAAATATTTTTTTAAAAAGATACGAAACAAATTGTATTTTAAAATTACAAAAGAGTATAAGCTTACGAGCTTCTTTGATAAGATTATACAAAAATGTTTTAATTGTTATTTATTGGATTTTATAGATGGACAGATGTGAAATTGTATGAACTTTATTTATTTTATAGATGTTTTATTTTATTTACATTATACATAAAAGATTGGTATGTGGTTGTGAATGAAGCTCGAATAATAAACCGGTGGATAGAAAATTTTGAAAAATGCAGTCTCTTCATTTTAATGTGTAACTAAATCCGTTATATTATATATTACAATTTCAAATATGTTCTTTTTTACTATCGCTAGATTATTTTATAAAAGATAATAATATTGTTGTATTGTAATTATGACAAAATTATTGAGTGATAAAAGTTAACTATTAATAAACTTTAGGTCCCCTCTCTCCCCAATAAGGTCTTTACGAAATGTGTGTAATTCATATTCTATTGATATTCTCGCGTATATGTAATCATTTGTGATATTTAGTATGGAGATAATAGTATGATTCTTGCACACTGCTATTAAAAACATTTTTACCAGTAATGTGTAAGCATCGGTAAATATAAATATCATAATGATTGACTTAAATTTTTAAAGGCAATTTTGAACAGTATTCATTTACATTTATTTTTTTACTGAAGTATTCTTCACTTGGTTCTGTATTTTTATAAGTTAGGGGGCCACACTGTGATGTTAGTGCTAGGAAATTGCTAGAATATATATATGGTTTGATAAAGGAAAGAAGATTAAATTAAATATTATAATATGACAAGCATATTACCTATAGCTATGTAGCATTGATGAATAGTAATAAAGAAAAATAACATTACATAAGTAAAGCACCTTTAACTTTTTAAGGTAATACTGTACTGTAACTACTAACTTTACTATCATTTTTGCTACAAAACAGCTTGAAATAATATAATATGTAATTCAAATTACGACAATGAAGGGATATACATGGTAAGAGGGCATGGTCAAGACAGAAGGCCTAAACGATAGGAATACTTAACAGTAGTGGTGCTGTGGTTGTATGTATTAGTTTACCGAATATACCGACCGCGACGTTTTATTCTTTTATTTTAATATTATATGCTAATAATAACAGTACTCTCATTTATTTGTAAAAAAATGATCATAATCAACAGTTATTGTATCATTACGCTCCCGCAGCTACCTCTTATCGGCTGCTTTTTAGATTTTATAATAATTATTATTATAGTTAACAACACTAGGTGATCGTTATGTGACTGTATTTTTTTCTTAGCGTTCAAATATATTTTAATGGTACCTATTGTTGCCAAATTAATCATCTATATAACGTCTTTTCCAGTGATGTATTTTGAAATAAATATTGTGGTAGTAATTAATGTGTTTTTTTTTATTTGGCATCCCCTTTGTTAGCTTTTATAGCTTCTTTTATATAATGGGCAAGCAGTTTAGGCCTTTGACTGCCGACAGAAAACTGTTGAAGGCAATCCTCCGCTAACGTAGGTCACCGGTGACCTACGTGGCGGTTAACGTGTTAGTTTGAAAACAATATGGGTAGAAACGAACCAGATGATCCTTACTATAATATTATAAATCTGAAAGTGAGTTTGTTTGTTCCACCTTCACGCCGTAACGACTCAACCGATTGCTTTGAATTTTTGCAGACGTAAAGTTAGAAGTCCGGATTAAATAATAGGGTACTTTTTAACCCGGAAAAAGTGATATTCCCGAGGAAATCCAAAAGTATTGGTATAGATGGCGCTGTGTGTATTGGTATATATGTCACATAGGCTACTTTTTATACTTTTGTGACGCGAGCGAAGCCGCGGGTAAAAGCTAGTATGAAATATGTTTTAAATCGGAGGCACGCAGATCCGTATGATCCCTAAGCCACCAACGCCATGCTACGACCCAGCCACCAACCACTGGACCAACTGCGCACCTATGACCAGGCGACGCGGAGGAGTTAGCGTAAGTACCGCTATATTTTATTTTTCGTATGTCATAATTATAAAATATTTATATGTTATATAATTACTAGCGACCCGCCCCGGCTTCGCACGGGTGCAATATGCATATACAAACCTTCCTTAAGAATCACTCTATCTATTAAAAAAAACCGCTTCAAAATCCGTTGCGTAGTTTTAAAGATCTAAGCATACATACGGACATACAGCGAAAGCGACTTTGTTTTATACTATGTATTGATTTTGTCGTAATAGTTAATAACTTTGTTTTCCGAACAACACTTTACAGGTTTGTGCAGCAGGTGGCTACTTATACGCCCTGGGAGGTCACGAGGCGCCCGCCAACACTGTCGGCGGCCGCCTGGCCTGTGTCGAGCGATACGACCCTGTAGCAGACACTTGGATTCTTTTAGCACGCCTCTCTTATGGCCGAGATGCTATTGGCTCTTGTCTACTTGGAGACCGAATCGTTGCTGTTGGTGAGAATATGTTTCCATTATCTAAATTTCTTCCATTTATACTAGAGAACTTCCAAGTCTCCATAAGCTTATAATTCCCTCAAACGTTATTCTTAACATGACATTATCGCTTTAGGTGGATATGACGGAGTCCAATATCTGTGCGTGGTAGAGGTATATGATTCTGAGTCCAACTGCTGGCGTAAATTGGCTCTTCTGAGCACTGGACGAGCTGGCGCCGCCGTGGTTTCCGTACCGCCGCCCAAAAATGTCTTCTGATATAACGCCATCCGCCGGCCGGTGGATACTGCTAAATTTGTTCCGATATTCTCAATGTCTGACCCAGAAGATGATGATGACTATTAAATACCGTTTACATTCAAACAAAATGATTTCTTAAGGTTAATTGATATCGTATTTGATCTTCGTATGGATAATAAAATCGCTCGTCAGTGACAATTAGTAATTTTGGAAAAAGGCGTTGTCCGAGATAAATAATAAAAGAAAATATAAAAAATAAAGACTAAATTCTATTTCAGCTAAATTGTAAATTCATAACTGTCGGATTTCATACTAGCAGTGAAGTGTTAAATAAATAATTCCCTCTTGGTAAGATTAGGCATGTTCAATAATCATATCATCATATTTCATGAATATCATAATTAATGTAATCAACTTAATGTAACCATAATAATGATTCTTAATGTATTGCGTTGTGAAGTAATGGCAACCAATTTTCATTTCGATCTCAATATCAAAGTCAAATTCAATCATAGTGACTTAATGTTCTAATAATGTTAGTTAACGATCTTTTATGAACCACCTATACGTATTCCGTATAGTATGGGTAAATGTTGGAACACTTTTTCAAAAGGAGTTTGCTTTGATCTTTTTTTATTTGCAAGACTGTATTATAAATGTTTGATTCCATTATCGAATTTAAAGGCTTAAACTAGACTTTTCTTAATTATTAGGTGTTAAAAAAATTAGATACATTTTCGGCTTGGTGTATGTTATTTGAGAATCGTAATATTACTATATTCACTTGTATTTTTCGATAGATTTCTTAATGTAGGTACCCAATGGTAGAATATGGGCCCTGTTTCACCACTTCCGATTTTCTGTTTGCGTAACTGACACATTTAATATGGAATGATCCACCGGATACGAATACCTAATCGAATTTTTTGAGGTGGTGAAACAGATCCTGAAGTTCTTAAGTGTATATTTGAAATATAGTTTGGTTATAACAATTATTATAAGCTGTTAAAGAACATAAGAAAATGTTCTTAATTGGTACTTAACTGATCTCAGTACTAAGAATGCAAAATAAATATATAGGAGTTTTTAGTTTTAGTTGTACCTATATTTTTCATAAGATTACTGGTCCAAATCTTTCATTGACTTAAAATTCTTGAAATAAATATTTTTTAAAAAGATACGAAACAAATTGTATTTTAAAATTACAAAAGAGTATAAGCTTACGAGCTTCTTTGATAAGATTATACAAAAATGTTTTAATTGTTATTTATTGGATTTTATAGATGGACAGATGTGAAATTGTATGAACTTTATTTATTTTATAGATGTTTTATTTTATTTACATTATACATAAAAGATTGGTATGTGGTTGTGAATGAAGCTCGAATAATAAACCGGTGGATAGAAAATTTTGAAAAATGCAGTCTCTTCATTTTAATGTGTAACTAAATCCGTTATATTATATATTACAATTTCAAATATGTTCTTTTTTACTATCGCTAGATTATTTTATAAAAGATAATAATATTGTTGTATTGTAATTATGACAAAATTATTGAGTGATAAAAGTTAACTATTAATAAACTTTAGGTCCCCTCTCTCCCCAATAAGGTCTTTACGAAATGTGTGTAATTCATATTCTATTGATATTCTCGCGTATATGTAATCATTTGTGATATTTAGTATGGAGATAATAGTATGATTCTTGCACACTGCTATTAAAAACATTTTTACCAGTAATGTGTAAGCATCGGTAAATATAAATATCATAATGATTGACTTAAATTTTTAAAGGCAATTTTGAACAGTATTCATTTACATTTATTTTTTTACTGAAGTATTCTTCACTTGGTTCTGTATTTTTATAAGTTAGGGGGCCACACTGTGATGTTAGTGCTAGGAAATTGCTAGAATATATATATGGTTTGATAAAGGAAAGAAGATTAAATTAAATATTATAATATGACAAGCATATTACCTATAGCTATGTAGCATTGATGAATAGTAATAAAGAAAAATAACATTACATAAGTAAAGCACCTTTAACTTTTTAAGGTAATACTGTACTGTAACTACTAACTTTACTATCATTTTTGCTACAAAACAGCTTGAAATAATATAATATGTAATTCAAATTACGACAATGAAGGGATATACATGGTAAGAGGGCATGGTCAAGACAGAAGGCCTAAACGATAGGAATACTTAACAGTAGTGGTGCTGTGGTTGTATGTATTAGTTTACCGAATATACCGACCGCGACGTTTTATTCTTTTATTTTAATATTATATGCTAATAATAACAGTACTCTCATTTATTTGTAAAAAAATGATCATAATCAACAGTTATTGTATCATTACGCTCCCGCAGCTACCTCTTATCGGCTGCTTTTTAGATTTTATAATAATTATTATTATAGTTAACAACACTAGGTGATCGTTATGTGACTGTATTTTTTTCTTAGCGTTCAAATATATTTTAATGGTACCTATTGTTGCCAAATTAATCATCTATATAACGTCTTTTCCAGTGATGTATTTTGAAATAAATATTGTGGTAGTAATTAATGTGTTTTTTTTTTATTTGGCATCCCCTTTGTTAGCTTTTATAGCTTCTTTTATATAATGGGCATGCAGTTTAGGCCTTTGACTGCCGACAGAAAACTGTTGAAGGCAATCCTCCGCTAACGTAGGTCACCGGTGACCTACGTGGCGGTTAACGTGTTAGTTTGAAAACAATATGGGTAGAAACGAACCAGATGATCCTTACTATAATATTATAAATCTGAAAGTGAGTTTGTTTGTTCCACCTTCACGCCGTAACGACTCAACCGATTGCTTTGAATTTTTGCAGACGTAAAGTTAGAAGTCCGGATTAAATAATAGGGTACTTTTTAACCCGGAAAAAGTGATATTCCCGAGGAAATCCAAAAGTATTGGTATAGATGGCGCTGTGTGTATTGGTATATATGTCACATAGGCTACTTTTTATACTTTTGTGACGCGAGCGAAGCCGCGGGTAAAAGCTAGTATGAAATATGTTTTAAATCGGAGGCACGCAGATCCGTATGATCCCTAAGCCAAACTAGGCAAGTGTCTTTTTTTTTAAGCGGGGAAAATCATCGAATGGCTGCTCCCGCCTGGGTGAGGCGGAAGGGAGTGTCAGACTCTTACTGACTAAAAACCACCCCGTTCCTTCTCCTACACGTCGAGCCGGAGCCCCGGTTACCCGTTAGGTTCTCCGCGACTAGGCAAGTGTCTAGGGCGCCAGGTCTACAAAAGGGGCGTCGCGAGACGCGAGTGCCCTACAGCCCGGAGTGGCGCCGGTGACAAAAAGTTTAAGGGTGCCTTAGAGGTATTTACCTAGGGTCCTCTCTAGGTTTATTTCGGCTCTGGAGGCGCCATAGTTGCAAGACAATAAAAGGTTGGACAGCCTTTCTAATGTTTGATTCTCATAAAGGTAGGTACCTACTCCTAGCTGTCGTACTGTGTGAATATTTAAAACAAAGAAAATAGAAAATATGCCTTATTTTCTATGTTATTTTTATTATAGGATTGCGAGTTGTAAACAAATTAAGTATATATTATTCAAATATGCAAAAATATTTACGATCATCCTTTAACTCGTCGAGTACCGGTTTTATAGACACAATTAAAGAACAATAGGTCGCGGTCACCGGTGACCGCTTGGTGTTTGACAGTTTAAATAATAAATTACAGAATATTATTCAATACGGATTCTCATTTCATTTTTTTGCACTGATGGTCACGTTTTATCACATTTTGGCCCTTTGCTTCTGATGATGAATAATTTATGAATTGGTCACACTAACAAAAGTGAATCATATAATTTGTTTTTTCATCTGTCAACACAGCACCCGGTTTTCATTGTTCATGCCTTCGTGATTTCTTTGCTGTACTTCTGCAGATCACGCGGAAAGCAAGATAAGTTTTCTGTTTCGAAAGTGCTTTTAAGTTCCTAAAACCATGGCTTTACACGTACCGAAAGCTCCTGGGGTACCCCAGATGTTAAAAGAAGGTGCACGGGTAAGTTTTATCAATATACATAACCAACAATTTCGTTGCGCCCACTCCGAGCATTTCATATGTTTTAATTTCTTATTATAACTTCATTAATCTTTACAAAAATGACCCAATATATTGTATAGCATACTTTTTAGTGTAAAAACTATTTAAAAAGGCTTTAAAAACTTCGAGTTTAACTCATATTTTTTTATTTTCTCAACATCAACAAATTCTAGCTAGAAATTTCTTCACAGTTTATGAATATAAGAAATCTTTTTAAAAGCACCTTCATGCTTCGTCTATTACTTTTAATGAATCAACTTGAAATGTTTATTTTTATTTATTAATAACATCATTGTTGACAATCATAACCAAATAATTAATGCTCATCTTGTTTTTTTTCTTCTATTACTAGATGTTCTCTGGCCTAGAAGAGGCAGTCTTCCGTAACATAAATGCCTGTAAACAGTTCGCCCAAAGTGTTCGCTCAGCCTATGGACCTAATGGCATGAATAAAATGATAATCAACCACATTGATAAACAATTTGTGACTAGTGATGCTGGTACTATCATTAGAGAACTGGATGTAGAACACCCAGCTGCTAAACTGATGGTTTTAGCCAGTCAGATGCAGGATTCTGAAGTTGGTGATGGTACTAACTTTGTCATAGTGTTTTCTGGAGCTCTTCTTGAAGCAGCAGAAGAGCTGTTGCGTTTGGGTGTAACGCCTAGTGAGATTGCTGATGGTTATGAGAAAGCTCTAGAGAAATGTTTGGAAATTCTGCCTGGACTTGTCTGTGAAGAAATTAAAGATTGCAAAAACATTGAAGCTGTAACCAAAGGAATCACTCCATCAATCATGTCTAAGCAGTATGGTTATGAAGATTTTATTGCTTCACTGGTTGCAAAGGCATGTATTGCTATCCTTCCTGAGAAAACTACATTCAATGTTGACAATGTTAGGATATGCAAGGTAACTATTGTTTCAGTATTATGCATTGCTCATTCTAGTATTGTAAAACTACAATTTATTTAAACATCATTTTGTTATAGATTCTGGGATCAGGACTTTTACAGTCTGAAGTACTCTCAGGCATGGTCTTCAAGCGTGAGGTTGAAGGAGATGTTTCTTCTGCAACAAAAGCTAAAGTAGCTGTATACTCCTGCCCTGTGGATATCACACAAACAGAAACCAAGGGAACAGTTTTGATAAAATCTGCTGATGAACTTCTTAACTTCAGTAGAGGAGAGGAGTCTCAATTGGAGAAACAAATTAAGGATATTGCTGATGCTGGAGTCAAAGTGGTTGTTGCTGGTGCTAAATTTGGAGATATGGCTTTACATTTTTTGAATAAATATGGTGTCATGGCTGTTCGTCTCAACTCTAAGTTTGACATTCGCCGTCTTGCCAAGACTGTGAATGCTACTGTAAGCATATTTTACAGTCAAAATGTGTTATCTTATAATAAGAAATATTTTGGTCTAAGATAAAAGTATATTAACCTTAATTAATTTTTCAAGGTCCTGCCAAGACTAACCACCCCCACTGCTGAAGAATTGGGATATTGTGATTCTATTGGTGTGGAGGAATTAGGAGACACTCGTGTTGTTTGCTTCCGCATGGAGAGCTCAGAATCACGTATCTCTACAGTTGTCATCAGAGGTTCCACTGATAACTATATGGATGATATTGAGAGAGCTATTGATGATGGTGTCAACACATTCAAGGGAATTGCTAGAGATGGAAAGTAAGTGTGGACATTTATTGAATACTTTTATAAGCATTTTGCTGTGCTAGAAACTTAAACATTTTCTATGATGGATAATTTAACAATTTTCATTTCATTTATTTCCAGATTCTTACCGGGTGCTGGAGCCACAGAAATTGAATTGGCGCAACAACTTCTTCAGTACGCCGATACACTGCCAGGTTTAGAACAGTATGCAGTCAGGAAGTTTGCAGTAGCTTTGGAAAGCATCCCTCGTGCCTTAGCTGATAATTCCGGGGCTAATGCTACTGAAGTTGTAAATAACATCTACAAAGCTCACAAGGTTGGCATCATACATATTAATCTATTTGCATTATTATTAAGTTTGTTAGGCAATATCTAATATGCATTTGTTAATTGGCAACCAAATAGCTTTACTAGACGACTGACAGACAGACAGATTTTTTTTTAATATTTCAATGTTTTGTATTGATGTTAAAGAGTGATTTCCTGGTCTAATTGTAATAAATGATTTTGACTTTGACTTTTCAGGAAGGTAACAAAAACTCAGGATATGATATTGAGTCTGAAAACAATGGTGTATGTGATGCTAAAGAAAAGAATATATTGGATCTCTACGTCCTGAAGTACTGGGGACTGAAATATGCGGTCGGCGCAGCTGCAACTATCCTTAAAGTAGACCAAATCATTATGGCTAAGAGGGCAGGAGGACCAAAACCAAAAGCACCAGCTGGAAGTGATGATGAATCTTAAGTCTTATGCAATAGATCACAATTAATCTTAACTCACAAAGTATTTTATTTTAAGTTTTTAGAATAAAATAAAGCTTAATAATACTTCATTTAATTTAAACATACATATGTTTCAAAATATAAAAGGTCTAATTCTTATTTCAGTTTCATAATTGTTTTGTTTGTTGTGAAGATTTTTTCTGCATATTAATTAAGATTCGAATGAAATATTGCGCACTTCGTAATTATATTTTCTACGAAACTATCAATCTCCGTCATGAACGCATTACTTACTAATAATAAAATTATTATAACGAACATGGTATTTTAAATATTTCCTTATTATAAACGAAACAGTTTTTTGTAAGCTTTTGTTCTATAAACCCTGGAATATAGATTACCTTAGAACATTTCATAAAAATGAACTTGGCTTAGCCTTTTACCATAATAGAAAAGGGTACGAAAAATCCGTAAGTTTTTTTATGGAATAGGAGGCAAATGAGCAGACAGATCACCTGATGGTAAGCGATCAGCGCCGCCCATGGACACCCGCAATTCCAGAGGAGTCTTATTGCCTAAAACGCGATCATCGCAACCATGAATCATGAATGACATCTGCAACAGATTTCATAGGCAGCCGGTCACTCAACAGCTGCACCGACTCTACTGTGCATTTCTTATTATTTTCAAGTACCTAATTGACTACTGCTAATCGGAAAGCGTCGTTTCGTTTATGACGTCATGGGATCCATTTAAAAACAGCCTCAGATACACTGTTTCTGTTCGGGATTAATTGATTTTCTGTTACTGAAACAAAATCAAATTAGGTAGGTACCTAATTTGATTTGCTGTGGTTGCGTTAGCGTATTTTTATTGCCATGGCAACATTCACAACAGTAGGATTGTCTTATGTTTTAAGTTCTTTTAGATCGACACTTTGTGATACAGCTAAAGAAAATATACTTCTATCGTATATTGTATGAACATGATACAAATAATGCTATTATTAATAATAAAATTTACTCTCATTGAAATACTCTCACTGATATTTTAAAATAATATATATTAAGCCAATAGTTCCGTTTCAACTTAGGTTTTCATATGATAACACAGCAGGACCTCTTAAAAACTAAATGTAGGGCGAGAAAATGAATGTGTAGTTGTCAAACTTCAACTCGTACGTTTTTTGCAATTCTCAGGAGTAGCTATTTTTGTTCATATTCTTCCCAGATTTGAGTTGTTTATAAGAAATATAGGAGAATGTCTTCGTATAAAGTAAGTAAAATATGCCAAACACTTTAGTATTAGAAAAAAATATAAACGTTAAAAAATAAATGTTCTGAAGTAAATTAATGGATTCAATTCTATTTAACGTTATTCTAGAGACTTATTACTGAAATTGACATTATTACTTAGTTCCATATGTCTGCAACGGAACTAACCTTCGTTTTTTATTTTGTAGCCCATTGATTCTAAGAGAGAAGAATTCAGAAGATATCTTGAGCGCGCCGGTGTTATGGATGCTTTAACGAAAGTTCTCGTGAGCTTGTATGAAGAACCAGATAAGCCGGAAGATGCTCTAGAATATGTTAGAAAACATTTAGGCACTGACGGTGGAGATGATGAACTAGAGGCTGCAAGAGCCCGTATTGCGGAACTGGAAGCTGAAAATGCTTTGCTTAGGGGTGAAGCAGCGCCAACGGAAGGATAAATTTTGCTCATTATTAATTACCTACATACCTAATATACGATGTTCAATTAAAGATCTCCTTAAAATGATCTCATATAAAAATATTCTTGTTATTTCTAGAGAAATATAACTTAGTGTTATGATTACTGTGAGAGTATTATTTTGTTATAAGTATATCTAATTTGGCAGCGAAAGAAGTACTATTAAATTTTTTGTTCAATTTATAATATTTTTCTTTTATTATGACCAATATTTTTACCCACTTGGCACTATACTTATTACATAAAAGGAAACTGTTTGTTTGCATTGAATAGGCTTTAATACAATTAAACAGTCGAAAAGTGTTTTTGAAAACTAACTATGGATTTGAAAATGCATTTTCTTTCATTCAGCTGGGCACAATAGGCTAAATATTTTTGTTATAGGATCATAGTTTACTCCAGAGAAGTTGAAGAGTTTATGTTATTATGAACCATTTGAATCCAAGACTGCTCATATATTAAGGCGGGAAATCGAATGACTTCTCCCGCCTTACCCAGGCGGGCGAAGTCATTGGATGATTTTCCCCGATTTGATGATTTTGGAGTGTCAAGACTCTTACTGACTAAAAAACTGAGGTTAGAAGTAGGTAACAAAAAAAGGGGTTTCACAGATAGTCAACCTTTTCTGGATGTTGGAGTTTATTACATTGTCTCATTGGCTTGTTAGCACACACAAATATGGTGTATCAAAATCAGGACTGTATGAAGGGTTTGTTTATAAAATAAAACAAAAGTAAATCTAATGATTTAACTGATTTAAATAGTAGTATTACACTTTGCACTAAACATTTACAGTTCCATTATTGCATGATTTAAACAGCGGTACTGATGAGTTCGGTGTATTTCTTGACTTTGCTGGCCACACTCATGTCAACATACTTGTCACCAATGGAGACAACCATGCCACCCATCAGAGAAGGATCAACTTTGGCTGTGAGCTGAAGAGTTTCATTGGCTTTCAGGAATTTCTGGAAAAATAGTTCAAATGTTTGATATTCATTATAATAGTATACATATTTATATTTGTTTTGATATTTAACTCTATGGGAATGGTATCTTTCAAAGGTCAGTTCTATTTATTTCACTGTATAGTATAAATATGTTAACATATTATTCATTTTAGAAGATGAATGAAACTTCACCTTTCCTTTTGGTCTGAACTTCCAAAGTAGTCCTCAACAATTAATATATTTTTAGGTATTAAATCTGCATAAATAAAGTGCAAATTATCATAATCTTTATTTATTACCTTGAGAGCAGCTTCCAGGTTCTGCCTCTGGGTCTGGTCAAGGGGTTTGGCAGTAACAACCTCACAGGTAACCTCACCACGGTGAGCAGACATCATGATCTTAAATGCATTGATAACAGCCTCCAGCTTGTCAAGACGACCATTCTCAGCCATAAGACCCAAAAGGTTGCTGGTTGTGGGAGACAATTTGGCCTGAAATTACATTTACACAAAATAAGTACTGACACCATACCAAAAAATAGTCACATTTGTCTCTCATTACAAGTAAGCACAGACAAGAAATTTTTCTGGCATAGCTCTTCACTTCAAGCTATAAGATCTTCCTCTGTAGAATATGTATTTTCTGCAAATAAATGAATTTGAATTCACAATAAATTACACATATTATTAATTTTTTTAGTTGTTGATTATGGGAAACTATTCAATTGAGTATTGAAACTATATTATAATAATAATTGACACAATAAAATTAGTAAAATGTTACATCACATGTATTCCAAATGCATATACAAATTTTAAATTAATCTTTAGTTGTACATGTAGTACAGCTTGTATCATAGAAATCTATTAGCTTTAGTTTACATTTTACAATTAAAGAACTTCATCCTTGAAATTTAATTACTATTAAGTATTGTCATTATGGACTTAGTTTTTAAAGAATGAAAAAAATATTAATTGTAAACAGAATAATCATACAAATCTTATGCTTTTGTCTCATAGGGACATCAAAAACCTTAGATGCTTGAATAAAATTGGAGCTAAACAAGTATGTATGTGTAAAACGTATGTACCTACGGGTACATACGTTTGTAAGGTTGTGCTTTGTATAAAAATTATTCAATATTTGGAATTCACTCATAACTAAATGATTAATCCTATTAGAATTTAATTTGAATACCATAATCAAATTATTGTTACTAATTTACTTTGGAGGTTGGAATACCCAAAAAATTAAACAACACAAAGTTATTATAATAAATGTATGCTTACTTGAGTGGCGACCTGTCTTAGAGCATCAGCCTTCAGATTTCTCTTGAGAGTTGGGTTCACAATGAATTCTTTCAGTTTGGCATCAGTCTTGATTGACTGCTGGAACTGAGACAGCTCTTTCTCAACGGCATCCAAGGTCTTGTTCTTGGTAGCAGCAGAATATAGAGCAGATGCGTATCTGCCTTCCAAACCAAAAACTTGGACAGGAGCCTTAACGAGTTGGCTTGCCGCAGCCGACGTGCTCAAGGAACGAACCTACAAAATATTACGTAACTTATATTTTCAAATTAATTTAAAGCATATTCTAACATATTAAGCTTTATAAACATTCACCAGCATGTTTCCCTTTGTGACCGACATGATGATATAGGGAAAAGTGAGATTAATTTAAAACACTGTTAAATTTACGTAAAGGGCAGGTACCAGGCTTCGATCGGTCACTTTTCCACCAAAACCTGTCAAACGTCAAATTTGAAAGATTACAGTGACATTGAAAGTATTGAAACATACAAAAATATTGCCAATGTTGACAATAAGTTTACATTATTTCAATTAATTTTATTAAAAATAAGTAATATTTTATTGGTAATTAAATATTTACAAGGTTTGTCCTTGTATTTGTATTTATAACCGTCGTAAAATAATAAGTAATAAATCATTTTTTTTACAAGGCACACTGCCTATGAATGACGTAAAGTGAATGTAATGCAAAAAGTTAAACATTTCGTAGAGCCGTCAAACGTGTTGGTGTCGTCAACGTACTACAAAACTACAAAATTCCAATACATTACGCTCATTGATATAAAAATCTTTAATGGAATTGTTATAAAATAAGTTGAAGTACTTCTATGAAATAAAAGACGATTATATTCGGGAAGTGTCAAGTTATAGACAAGACAAGGCAAAGAATTAAGAAAATAGGTAATTATGTCGCGCCAAGTGGACTTAAATATAAATAAATTACTTGATGGTTTGGGTTTAGACGGCGATGACAATACCATATGCGACTTTACTATTGCTGACCAAAATTGCGTTGCCGAGTCTCAAGGTATTACACCTACCACTCCCTCTAATTTCAAACCGGTACTGGGCAGCAACGTCACTTACGTTGTAGCTTGTGTGATTATAAACAAATCAAATGAAGTGCTGATGATGCAAGAAGCAAAAGAGAGTTGTGCAGGCAAGTGGTATCTACCAGCAGGACGGATGGAAAAAGGAGAAACTATTGAGCAGGCTGCAGCCAGAGAGGTGCTCGAAGAAACAGGACTTATATGTACTCCAACTACATTGTTAGTGGTTGAGACTGCTGGTGGAATGTGGTACAGATTTGTTTTAACAGGTGAAGTCATAGGTGGTGAATTAAAAACACCTGCTAGAGCAGACAAGGAATCGCTGCAAGCTAAGTGGATATCTAATCTTCAGGAAATCTCTTTAAGATCTAATGATATTTTACATCTCATTGAAAAAGCACAGGCATATAATAATAGAAGTCCTGACAGTCATTGGCATAAAGAAATCTTGCCTGCACCCATTCATCACGTCAAAGATTTATTGAGGTTGGTTGTGGTAATAAAAAAGAGGAGCACTAATAAGTTGCATGTACTTTTAAGTGAGAAAACTGCAATACATTTTCCAACATGTGAAATAAATCCAGGTAAAAGCATTCATTCAACATTGAGGAGGTTTATGGTTGAAATGTTTGGGGCTGATGTGGGCCAGCACAGGCCCCTTGGGTTATTGAACATAGAACATGACCCTGTAGCTGATGGCTGTTGCCTTACTCTACTTGTTGCATTCAGGGCACCACTTGAAGAGGTGCCTCTCATAGGCAAATGTGTCTGGCAAGAGGTCTCTCCTGGTGATGAAAGTAGATTGCTCTCCATTATTACTACAAAAAATTCTTTGGTAGAGCTTCATGTTGTTCGTTAACACCAAGACTTTACTATTTAGTGTTCACAGATACACTTCTATTTATCAATTTTGAGCTAATTGGTAATAGTCACATGCTTTATTACAAGATCATTTTGAATATATTGGCCATTTTTAAGTACAAGAGAAAATTGGATTTATGGATTTGGTAATGAAAATGTAATGTATCTGTCAACACTGTATATTTATCAAATCATGACAATTAATTATATTTTATAATACTCTATTTTTAAATTGTTATAGTAGTTAAGCTATTTATCCGTCCAATAATATAGGCATTTACTTATATTTAGGTTAAATCATTAAAGTTAAAGTTTCCGAGATCTGGGTACACAGACTTTATTCAAATCCAATAGTACTAAAACGAAAATGAATTACTTGACGGCTTGGCCAGACTGTTTATTGACAATAAACAGTCTGGCCAATTCATATTGGTGTAAAGCTTAGAAATTATTACAAAAATATAGATAATAATAAATGGAGGCAATATACTCATGTAAATAGGGTTAATGACATAGAATCACGATTTAATTGAACATAATGTAATGTAAGAAGTCATTTAGTGTATATCTGGCTTATAAATTGTCATTTTATTTTAATAACAACAAAATTATTATAATCACTTTAATATGTATGTTTATTAAAGTGGGCAGACACCACAATCATCACAACACTAGCAAAAAAATGGATCTGATTTATTAACATTTTCATTATAACTGATACTTATTTAATCATGAAGTAAATATAATTGTATTTGGTACCTACAATACCTATAGTACTCTACTCAGTATTCTTTGTATTTATAGTCTAACAAATGGTGGCATTCCATGGTTTTATTAACATAGGGTAGTTGTTATACATAGATCTACTAATTGAAAGTATAAAATTACAATAAATGTATAATTTAGTCTTATAGTACCTGTACCAGCTGTACTTACTGGAGTTAAATATCTGCTTGGCCAAAGGATTAACATACTAGAAATTATTATTATTACAAAAATATTGAGACGGAATAATATTATTGTATTAACATTCTGTCTGAGCGGTAGTGGTAGCTACTTAATACCAGTAACCAAGCAGATTTGTTATTAATTATCCAATAAGATTTTGACAAAGATGTTATGATTTATTTAGATTATTTAAAACATATTTAATGTATGTCTACATTTTGTAGCCAGCTGGTTTTAAAACATTTTAAAGCTTTATTTTTTTTGTTATATTTTTTTACAAATAATCTTGCTATACTTGTTTATACTTTACTAATCTAATAAAGTGTTTATAAAAATATTTTTTCTACTTTTTTGCATTGTAAAGGAGTAAGGGCAATTGAAACAACGAAATTTATTTGATGATTTATTAAAGCGATAAAAAAACATTGCATTGACTAGAAAAATCGAATATTATGTAACCTAAATAATTATATTTTAATAAGTCTAAAATCGGAAAATGCTTTAGATAACTGGCTGCTCGTTTGCCTCCTATTCCATAAAAAAAAAATAACAGTAATTGCACACTATAGTTTAAATTGGTAATTTAGTTCGCAATATAATACAATAAAAGTTCAACAAATCAACCATTTTGAAAGTAGTTTAAACTACTTTTCAATATTTTCTTTTGAACAGATTTCCTATTGAAAACTATCTATTTACATACAATTAAATAAATGTGAAAATACCGCATCAATTCAAAACTAGGCAACAACTTCACTTTACAGCATCTTAACATTGGTTAAGAGCTAGTATATAATTTTAGTACCTGGCTTCTGTTTCATTCAGTTAAACTATTTATCATCATGTCTTGGTTTTTCAGCCTCATAATCTGAAGATATTTAAATAATACTATTAACTGCAATACCAGTTAACTTTATATTTAATATTGGATGAATGGTTTGGCTTCTGAGCCCACGTTACGAAAAATTAATTATTTAGAGCCGAAGATTAATGCCATCCCGCACAGTACATTTACAAAATTCTTCAATAGGATGCGAACTAAACACCCCCTATTTAGACAATTCATGTGTTATTGCTTAGGTAGGTGCATAGATTAGGTACATCTTTTCAACATAGAGACCTGCAGGTACATCTACTTAAGTATACTCAAATTACTTGGTTTATTATTGAACAACTTGTTAGAAATACAGGCAGAACTAAGGAGGAATGTGTTTATTATAGTATAGGTAGGTATACAGTAATCTATATACTTGTGCAGTTTGTCTACTTGCTTGTATAGGTATTAGTTTAACATTTTAATGTTTTTATTATAGCTGTTAAAACTCCCTAATCAGAGTAGGTCCAAAAGATGAGTTTGTAGTTGCTAAAACAAAAATTGCCAAACACTACTTAAGAAAGTATTGTTATCATAGAAGTTTGTTTAAAAAAACATAACTGGTAACTTTACAGTCATCTTCTTTCAGTCCTGATAGTTCTGAATTATAGTCAATTCTTGTTTACTTTTCTAGCTCATCTTGCTTTGCAGTAAAAGCTATAGATTTACAAACAAATCGCCTTCTTATCTAAATAGTTAAAAGCGTGCTTGTCTAGATTTTTAGACTTTTACTGTCCTAGGATAGCATAGCTACTAGCAGAATAATATTTTTGCTGCTTAGTAACAAACGGATTAGTACATCTTTGATTGTTTATAGTCATACCATCGTGGGGTAAGTATTGGCCCATCTAAGAAACAGACTGGAAGCCCATCAATAAGTACCTACACATTTTCAAGGTATCTTTCAAAATTTACATTTTAATTTCATTTTTCAATGTTCTGTTTACTGTCTTTATTTTGTACTTTTAGATTTTTCATTAATATAGATATCTAGAGACATACAAAATTGATTGAAATGTGGCTTCGACAAAAACCCTCTTCGCAAGGTCGTCGTGCGCCGCTTCGCAGGTCATGGATACGGGTCCTGGTGTTGCTTGACTATACATATAGTAGAGCAAACAGTTCAAACCTCGAAAGCCGAAAGAAAGTATATTTTAATCAAATCAACTTACTTTTGGTTGTCTTTTTGATAATTATGTTTAACATTTCATTAACTTTCTTTATCTTTTGTATGTGTACAATACATAAAAACACAAAAATCTTGTTGTGCATAAGAGAGATTTCATAAATTTTTAACCCAAACAGAACATTTTGATTGCAAGAGAGAAAGAGAGAGAGCTACGAATTTGAATTTGTTACAAGAAATTACAAATATAAGTTTTAAAGTTACATGTATCAAATAAATAATAAGATCACTTTATATCTAATAGCAGAAATAATTACTATACAATAATGGCTAAACTATTTCCTAATAACAGCAATATTAAACAAAATCACAATTCTTATGAGTAAACTGGGCAAAGCCTCTGTCATTTAATGGGTAAATACAATGAGAGCATAATATTGTACCTAGGCACTGTGCATCATAATTATGAAGCTTTTCTTTCTACATACCATCGAAATATATAATTAGCCCTCAAGCTGTATTCCTTGAATCCATGAGCTCAAGTCGGCTGAAGCAGGACATTCAATGAAATTTTCCTCCGGTTCATCTGAAGCCAGCAAGCGTCGTGCAGCTATTTGACCGGATAGATAAGCCCCATGCGCTGTAGAATAGAAACTGCTGTGTGTATGCTCTCCAGCAAAGAGCAGGACAGGCTGAAAATATAAGATGTAATGGTGAACTAAAATTCCATCTTCATTCAGAAGTTAAGAGGTGTTGTGTGTTAATACAATTACCTAATTGCTTAAATAATATAATGCAAGGAAAGATATTTTATTATTAGAATTATTTTTTATTAACTTGATTGTAAATTTATACTGACAGAAGCAATAAGATACGAAAAATGATTAATTATTCTTAACAATCTTTATCAGGCATTCCAAATTCCAAGTTTCCAAATCATACTCTTCATACCTAACTTATTTTTTCTTTGGAAAAATTTTATCAATGGTTTCACTTAATAATTTATCAACAGTAAAATTAATTATCATTCTATTATATGGGTCTGATTGAGTAAGCACATTTTTATATTATCTGCTAGATAATAACAAAAAGCTATAGATAATAAAAGTACTTAGGGCATTATCACAAGTTATAGCAACTGCCTATATGTATATGCTGTGTGTGTATGCTTTATTACTATTTTTATCAAAATATGAGTAAAACTTAGTAAGTTATTAAGTAAATATACTAATAAATCCTGTGTTGATTAAATCTGTTTGAATAAAAATAAAGAGCAAAGACCACATAACATCATCAGTTAAGAATCCAAATTACCTTTTTATCATGTACATTTCTGAATAATGGCTGAGCTAAACTTTCAACATCACTTTGACTAGCTCCCACGCCTATAGCAGTATATGACCCTTTTGTGTAAGGTTGTTTTTTCCAACTTGTACTGAAAATTGAAAGTTAACAGTTAGAAAAACATAGTAACATAAAAATTTTTGTATCATGTTCCATTCAATTTATTACTCACCAAACACATTTTTGGGGCTCAGGAACAAATGGATCATTTAAAAATTTCCTAAGTATCTTTGTGCAAGTAGTTAATATTTCTTCATTTGTTAGTGTTTCCATATATTCTGCTTCCTTCCCTGACACCCACCCTAGTAATAGGGTTTCTGACACTTTACTAAATGAGTATATTTTTTTATACCATGAATCAGATATGTCCTCAGGTGTTGGAGAATTTTCCCATAACAACATAATCTCTGTAATCTCTGGATTTAAAAATGGTCTATCATATTCTAGGAATATTTTATCTACAGTACTAAATAATAATCTGTCAAGTGATTCCATTTTGTATTGTGGTAAAGATGGTTCAAACAAGTTAGTAGCACTGTCTTTTAGCACACCCAGAGGAATTGTACATATCACATGATTCGCATAGAAACTTTGTCCATTTTCACATTCTACTTCAACATAGTTAGGGAACTTTTTCTTTGGTTTCCGTGTGACATCAGTTAATGATGTGCCTTCTCCTGGATTCACTGGTTTATCTGAAGCTGATGTTTTGGAAATATCTTCAATCACTGTCTGGTCAGAGTCTTCTGACTCTTCACCCATATCTTCTAGTGGCCTTTGTAAGTTATGCTCATCCGAGTCCCAAATAATTTTTTTCACAGCATGGTCTCTCAATATCTTATCTGGGGCAATATTTTTCGTGAGTGGTTCTAATATGGAGCTGAAACCTGTAGGTATCATGATATTTCCACCTTGTAGCTCAGTATAGCTACCTAACTCAAGAAGGTCTATCTCATCCATACTGTTACATCCAGATATACAGGTTTCTCTTTTCAATAGGCAATCAAATATTAGTCTTCGCAATTTCTTTTCTTCTGACGATGGTAACCGTTCTAGGTAAATGGTGGCTTCTAAATTGATGTGTTCACCAACACTGTGGATGTCAGGTGGAGGTAAATACTGGCATAGGAAATATTCTTCGCAACGTCTTAGAAAACATACATAGGCTTCATGTATCTCATGGAGTACTCCAAACGGTACTTGTTTTCCATCCTCTGTTGCTGCTATAACCTTATGCGGTTTGGGTATGTTTATAATATTTACTAGATTGTTGGCCATCGCTATTTCAAAAATTGGATTACCCAATACTCCATGAATCCAATTGGCTCCCAGTTCAACGTTTTGATTTTTCATTGGTATTGAAATTATTCGTCCACCGATCCGTTTTCTCGCCTCCAAAATTATAAAGTCTTGCATGCCATTTTTCAGAAGATAATTGGCGGCAGATAACCCAGCCATGCCGGCACCAATTATCAATACATTACACTTATTTGTATCACATTTTTTACTAGAATTTAAGTTTTCGTCGCCCATAATATTAGAAATTGATTATTACTTGTATTATTTTGTCAGTATTGTCACTGCACTTTTGACGTTCAGCTGGTTACGACATCTTTGTCCTTCAAATAGAGAAGTTGAAAATGGTTTTATTATTTAAGGCTGGCAATCTGCCATTACTTTGGACTAGGACTTTCCACATCGTCGAAATCAGAAGGCGATTCATTAATTAGTAGTTTGATTAATTAATTATTGATACATATAACACAATATTTTACCGAAATATTTTAAAAGTTTGCTAATTATATTTTAAACAATAATCGAAGCTTGAAAATATTTTCACCACCATAGACAAACGATATTTTAGTGGTAATAGTCACGAAAGATCACCTCCCTAGTTCGCGGATCCTTTCCACTTCCGCCTAGACATTTTGTTTGCATCTCTTTTACTCCTGCAAATTTATCTATACGCTTTCTCATTTCAATGACCTTTGAATTTGCTGAATAATAATAATAAAATCTTTGTTTACTTCGTATATCTCAGCAGTGTTTTTGTTATTGTGGCTATTCTTTCAATTTATAATAGTGAAATCCTACATAATATCGTGATTGTCAGTTCGTGTAACAAAGATATAAAGTAGATTTGACTCAAGTAATCGTGTAGCATTCTACTGGATAGAATCTATTGTTTGTCTAATTTCGATATCGAAAGTCATTGTGAATATCAAGTGCTTACAAATTTTGTTTTGAGGGATGTGTTTTGTTACAGTTATGTAACCAAAAGATGAGATATCTAAGTGTATTTATGATAAAAAGATACGTTAATGATTATTTCGATCCTTTTAGTAGGTTCTAGTAAGAAATAAGGTTCAGGAAATAAGCAAAACACGTGGGTTTTGCTGTGAATAAATCGATAGAGACGTAAGACGCGTGCGCCAATCTCTATCAACAAGACTATTATACGTCAAGGTCACTGATCACAAACACGTGCGATGTCGGATTCTATTTACACACATGACTTTCTTCTCGAGCCAGGTTTAGAGATAAAACAAGAGTCTCCGATAGAATCGGGTACTATGTCTGCTTCCGTGCCTATCCCACAGCGCCGTGTTGATCCCGGGGACTTCAACACTGATCTAGACCTGTGTTTGCAAGACAACTTGGTTGGCTCTTACAATATGCCTAATCTGGCTTACAACAAACTTGTATTTGAAACAGACAGTACATCAAAAGCAGAAAGTTTCAAAATGGATGATGATGACATATTCCAAGTTGATAAAGCGGATTTGATCCTTGGGCCAACACTTGCAGAGTTAAATGCTAATCCAGATAATTTATTGGATGATTTAAATTTTGATGATCTCCTTTTGCCTGAGGAGAGTGGTTATTGTGTGCAAATTGGAGGAGCGATGAGTGGTTCACGCCGCGCGCCAAATACTATGCAAACACATAATATTTTGCAATCAGAGAGTCCTTGTAGTCCATACAGTCGTGCACAACTGGCATTTTCTCCAGCAAGCCAGCACAGCTCAGCGTCATCTAGCTTTGCTCAGCCTATGAATCAAATGCCAGAACTGCTGCTTCGAATGGATGGTTACAGTGGTGAAATTGCTCTGGGTCAATCAGTTCCAGCATCAACTGTACTGCCACCATTCCCCACTAGTGCAAAACCTCAGCAGCCCCAACTTTCTTCTTCTGCCCCTACCCACCTCACTATGGAACAGGTATAATATCATTGTAAAATTATCTTGAAATGATATGCAATAATTCTAGTCTATTCTATTTCAAGGTTTTACTTAATAAATAAAATTACAGATTTGGCAGCGTCGTGAACCAAGGAAACATCTTTTGTCTACCAGCTCCTTGGCTGAAGCAGGGTCAGCATCATCTCTTTCTGGAGGGCTTCTCAGTCCTGGCACTGTCGACTTTTCACAAGATGAAGAGGATCGTGATGTAGAAACTGATGAAGACAGTGACAGATATGAGGATCTCTCCTCAGATGGTATGATATAACTTCCTTTCCTATGATAAACTTAATAATAATATGGCTTCCTTTAAAGCTGATTAAAGATGTACTAATAAAATTGGTTAGTGGGTCAAATCCAAAAATAGTTAAAAAATTTCAAAGGTTATCTATATCTAATACTGGGTAATAATGATGTAATAATTGACATTATTGCAGAATCAAATGATGAAACAGAAGGTAAACAACCTCGAAGTAGTTCAAAGAAGGAGAGGTTCTTTTGGCAATACAATGTACAGGCTAAAGGACCCAAGGGACAAAGACTCATCTTAAAAAATAAATCAGAGGATCCACATGTCCTTAATATTGTAACTGATCCAGTATTCAGTCCCAGTTGCAGTGTTAGAGGCATAAAACACAGGTATTATTTAATTGCAATTAATTCGACATATTTTTATAGAAATGTTTTGTGACGGCCAGAAAATCTTTACAGTTGTTTGAGTTGATTCACCCATTTGATTTTATTTTGTCTTGACTGTAAAAACGTTTTCTTTCCACAATTTATTTCACTTTTTGCATTTAATGGTGAACAAAAGCTTAAGTTATCTAGTATTTTTTTATACAGTAGAACCCGTTTAAGACGATCACGCTTAATACGATTTCTCGCATAATACGCCATTTTACGTCGGTCCCTGCAACTTAAAAAATATTTTCATACATTTCTTAACGCTTAATACGATTCGTCATCCCGTTTAATACACGCCGAGCAGCGAGAGAGGTCAGCGCTCCAGACGTCGTGTTGGAAGAAGAAGAACCCGAGATACTGCAGGGTTTTCCTGGATACTCTTCTATTGATGACAATGTAGCACCGTACGAAATTCAATCAATTGAAGATCTTATTGAGAATGTGAACAACACACAAAACGAAGCCCTAAGTGATAATGATGAAGACGAAGATGAGTCAACTCCGGTTTTGTCAAACGCCCAGGCATTATCAGCTGTTTATGATTTAAGACGCTATGTAGCTTCTATGGATCAAAGCGAAGACGCACTGCAAAAGTTGAATTATGTTGAAAATCTTTTAATTGCTAATGCATCAAAATCTTTTTGTCAAACCAAAATAAGTGATTATTTTAAATAATGTAATTTTAATTACACTACGTATTTAACGTAATTTATAAATGTATAATTACAAAAATTAGAACATATTACATAATAATAAGTAGTACTTTTTTTATTTTCCCTATCCCGCATAATACGATTTCTCGCTTAAGACGCGTTTTTGGTAAGGTCCCTGAGAAATCGTCTTAAGCGGGTTTTACTGTATTTACATGTACAAATGCTATTTTTTAGCCTGTCCAATGAATAAATTATTTTATCATTTACACATTTGCAGTGGAAAGGCCAGGAAAGGAGACGGAAATGATTTGACACCAAATCCAAGGAAATTGTATTTGATTGGCAAAGAATTAGATAGTTTGGGTAAAATAATTAATGATATGATCCCTGTGAGTGAACTTCCATTCAATATAAGACCCAAAACCAGAAAAGAGAAAAATAAACTAGCTTCACGGGCCTGCAGATTGAAGAAGAAAGCCCAACATGAAGCAAATAAATTAAAATTACATGGCTTGGAGCAGGAACATAGTAAGTTTATATTTGTTTCTATTATGAGTATCTAGATGAATAACATCTGATGTCATGATTGTATTTATAAATGAATGTGTTAAACAACAATAATAACAGAAAAAGAAGAAAAACAGATGTGGACTGTATTGTGGTACAAGGAGAGGGGAGGATGGGGCTAGAGGAGTATTTTGATCCTTTTAAGTATTACTAGTGACTTGCTTAACTTAGGTAATTTAAATGTTGAGTCTCAAGTCATTATCATTATACTTTTAGTAGTTTATCTAAACAACACCACCCACACCATGTCTGGGTCATGTTTGTAATACCTTAGGTGTAAAACTTTTCAGCTGCCCTAATAAGTTTAATTACCTAAAGGACGGACAGTTAATGAGAATTTATTGCCTCTCCACAGGGCGCCTCATGAATGGAATTGCACAAATGAAACAAATAGTGAGCAGCCGAGTGACTAACTCACAGAATAATGTTGACTGGAATGCACACATCACAAATATAGTAAACACAGCTACAGGTAACTATTTTCTATTTATTTCACTTTGTAACTCAGTTTTTTCTTATTGAGTAAGTAAATTAAAGACACATGTTTGAGTACATTATAGGCACAATTAAAGAACAATAGGTTGCGGTCACTGGGGTCCTCGCGGTGTTTGACAGTTTAATGGATCAATTATTGATCCATTGATTACAAGTTCTTGCACAATGTATAGTTATCAGCTGTTATTTAGTGGTTTATGAATGTATAGTGCCAATCTTATAGCACTGATCAATTTCAATAAATTAATGACGATTTTTTTTTATATTTCCTTTCAGAGATAAAAATCGCTGGCAAAACTTCAGAATATGTCAATAAAGTTTTGGACAAAGTCAAAGCAGGACAAAACAATGGTGGATTAAATGATTTATAAACACACACATACATTTCAGATGTGAGTAAAAAAACGAAAGGCTGTTCAATGTACCTCCAAAGTTATTTAGAGAAGAGAGTTTATGTCTATCATGTAAAAGCTTAATTGTCTAAGACAATTTTATTTTTGTATGGTATCAAGAGTAGATTTAGTCACTAGAAGCTTTACAAGGCAACTAGGGGGAATATTAATGTAATCCTCATTTAATATTATTATGCCATAAGTTAGGTGTCAGTGTCATGTATATTTTAAAAGTTTATAACATTTATTGTTAGTGTAAGACTTATGTTTGTTATAAGAAATGAGAATATCTTTTTTCTGCTGGATTTGTAATTTTAAATACTTAGTAGTTGAACTAGGAGCTTGAATTTACAGATATTTTGTCTACAAAATTACATTTGTTAACGAAAAATAATACAGTTACATTGTACTTGTTGTTTTGAAAGTGAATCTAGTCGGGACCCTTTGTACTGTGAATATGAATATTTATTAAGTGACAAAAATTTTAATATAATCGTAAACCACATTCCTTACTAATAATATAAAGAATTCTTTAAATTGTATAGAGAAACAACAGTGTTTAGAATATAGAAATCCATACACTGGATCTGTAACTGGATTATTACTGTATTATTTTTCTTAAGCATTTCTTATGGTAAACCGGAAATAAGATAATACACCATATTTATTTTTAATTCAATATACACTTAATTGGTAGACATTTCCCAATTACTGACACGAGTTGATTCTCGTAGAGTGCAATATTCCTGGCCACTTTTAAATAGTAAATTTCTCTGTAGTAGAGAATGGATTGGGCAATAAAAGTTTACGACTTATTTTTAGATGAGAACAAACACAAACAGGCGTAATCTAAGATTGCTCTTCACCTTTAGCAATATACAGTAGTGATTTATTTTCATAAGTACCTATTTATATTCCTTTTCAAAAAATACTATGTATACATATTATTTTATATTATTATGTATGTTATTATAAAATTTTTCTTACGGATGTTATGATTTTAAAGTTCACGACGAAATTATATTTACTAAATTAATTAATAATATTATCACTTATACAAAATTAAAATTTTAAGTAATTCTAAAGGCACAATTTAAATTCTTAGATACAGATTTAAGCATGGCTTAGCTATTTTATATTTTTACGTATTGATGGATGGTTAAATTTAAATGAATACGATATTTATCTTCTATTGTTATAGATGTTATTTTTAATATGAAAATAATAATGTTAAGGTTTTCTTGGTAATGCAATGTTATGTGTTTAAAAATTATCTTTACCCTTTAAGAATGCTTCTTGTAATCAAAATATGTTGTAGTGTCCTTCCTTTCAATTATGAAATGATGTGACACTTGCGGATGATGGCTTACAGAACTTGACTGCAACTAACCTCATTAGAAACATTAACAAGGTGTCAATTAGCGTCTTGCAAAAAAACGCACCAAGTACCAATAAAAGGGTATCAACACTTGGCTGCAGTAGGTTACTGAAGGTACTCGGAACCGAACCATTTAACAAGAATTGTTAATAAACACTTGAAAAATATATATGAAATCTTGGTGTTTAAAAAAATACTATTTTGTCGAAACAGCATAAATGAAATTGCCCTAAAAGTGGCATCAAACAATCTGCGATAAATTATAATTACACAGTCGAATACCATGTTTATCCATGACTGATTGATCAAATTACATTCATCCATGTTAAATATTTTCATTTTACTGTACGAAATATATTTTTTATAATATTTTTTATTGTTAATGAACGATCTGCAATATAAATTAATATAGTATGTGTATAAGATAAATATATTTATGGTAGATTATATTCTTAATGTTAATTAATGAAATGGAATAAAATTATATTTAATTCATATCAATTTACAGAAAATATTCGAATTTAAAAATTAATTTCAATTTTATGACTTAAGGTGAATAATGTTAAAATGCCAATTTAACATTTAACATTACCAAGACATTGAATTCAGTTTAGATTCATCTGGCGAATACATTTTGGTTTACAAGGGTTAACAACTTTCCATCATTTGTTTTGATTTGTATGATACAAAGTTAGAACGTATTTTTTAAAAATTGGGAAAGTTTTTACATTCGATGTTTCACTTTAAGACTAAATATATCACCTTCATATAAAAAAATACCTCAAAAAAATGTTAAGTAAGAATTTCTTGTATCTAAAGTTAATATTAAAATTAGCATACTGATGCTCCAATCTAGAAGCTTATCGAGTCGTTGGCGGCGTATGGTGGAACTTTCCAGATAAAATAAAATGCTCCAAATAGTTGTTAATTTCAACTACATCTGATTCTGAGTATGCCATAGTTTGATATCTCTCGGAAATTTTATTTATAATGTACACTTTAAAGTATATTTATTTATTGCAGTACAGAATGGGATAGTCGTACAGCTTGTACTATAATATACCCATACTACGCCGCCGTAGGTACATAGGTAAAAAAATATGTAACTGATTCAAATATTTTGTGATTATAAGTATATTAGATGTATCAATGTAGGTTTCACTGTCTAATGGTAACTGTAAATATGTTTTTGTTATGTTTTGTTTATTTCTTAAGGTCATGTAATGATCAGGAGCTGGTTGGTGTACTGTACACAGTCGCATAATAGCATTTTTGACTAGTACCTAATGTCATGACTACAAATTATTCAATTGAAAGTACGGACGAGTCAATTTTCCTTAAACAGTCTGGTAGAAATGTGACGTAAGGCTGGCATCTACAGAAGTTCTCTAAGGCAGTAGCTAAACTTTTATGTGCAGTTATTAAAAATCCTTCTATTTCGGGAGCTTTGCATTTCGGCATTTGTATTTTAGATGAACAAAACGTTACTGTTTGTCTAGTCTTGTAATTCAATCTTTAATAGTCTTTAACTACGGAAATCATTTTCGTTATCAATTCTAGTTATTTTCTTTTGCCTCTTTTAGACCCTAAATTCTTCTCTTCCTTATGGGTGGGTAGGCAGTAAACTACAAATGAATTCCCAAAATGAATGTTCAACTATCATTCCCGCACTTGTGTTATAGTAATTTGTAGTCATGATTGGTTTCTAAATTTTATAAAGGAACTTTTAGGTGGATGAGTTACAATGTTCGAAGGTAACATTGTAAAATCGACTACCTAAATAATATAATAGTATATTTTGTCATATAACAAACCAAACTCAAACTGGTCTGCGATCCAATAGGCTGTGGTTATTTGTACCTATATTTCATAAGTTTTATTATGTTACTTTTTTATTATTTTACTTTATTGAATATTTTTAAATGATTGTCAAGTGTATGTTAATGTATTAATGTTGAATAAATTTTACGAAATTAAGTATTAATTTTAGAATTTCATGTCTTTATTATTATTCACACCTTACTTTCTTTTAACCTGTTGTTTGCCTAAAATTGATCCACCAGAGACACAATAAATTTTCTATTATCTTATGTATATACCGGTATTAAAGTGGTTAACCACTTTTTATTACATTGCAAATATCTTGTTTGAATCGTTTAAACAATATTGAACCAGCTGTTATACTTTTAACTCGTTGACTACCGTCATTATAGACACAAAGAACAATAGGTTGCAGTCACCGATGACCGCTTGGTGTTTGACAGTTTAATTAGATTGGATGTAACTGTATAGCTTGCATCTCCTTGCATGATGATCATATTAATAGTAAAAGTAAATTTTTACATTTTATTTAAACAATTTATTTAGTATACAAAGTACATATACATTTATTTAAATATATAAATTAGAGTTCAACAAATTGTCTCTATGTGTTTTTTCCACATGAGGAATAACTTTGAATTTTTCTAACAAGTTATTTAATTCTTGTATTTGTACCTCTTCAGGATGTTCAATGTAGCATACAATCACCATAGCAGGCTTATCATTGACTTCTCTCCAGGACAGGGCTGAAAAAAAGTATGAGTATTACCATTACACAAACACCAAACAAAGTATTTTATTTACTTTTAAGTTTTTAATGTTCTTATTACCTCCTGCAGATACACCAGATATAATATTAGGTTGCTCTAAATGAGGGAAGGTTTTATCCAGATCGCTTGTTGGCCGACTTGCTGATAGACATCTGATTACATAGTCATTTGTGACCAGTTCTGATACTTGGTACTCCACAAGTGGTTTCGTCAATACGCCTATAACGTCAGTGCTAACATTAATGTATTTTTTTAACATCTCCACAATTTCGCTGCTCAGAATTAAGTTGTAATCCCTTATCATACACACATAGTTATTCAGTTTCTTAGTCTTGAATAACCGTAAATTTACTTCTGGACTCGCGTTAACGAGTTCGAGTTCATGATGAGCTCTAACACAGTCAAATAAGTACTTTCCTTCTAATATGATAAAAGTATCAATTTGCTTGGGTACTTCTATCTCTTTTTCCAAGCGTAACCTGAAAGAATGAAAACACTAGTAATTAATCGTTTAAAAAAGGTGGTTCAATAAATACTTATTCAACAAAAGTATTGAATTAGATAAAAATATATAGTTTACTAACTCTATACAATTTTCAGTAAACAAAACTTCATCCCAGTCTTCCCATGCAGTTCGACTTGAAGGTTCGTTTATTTCACCAAAAGTGGTCATTTTGTAATTTGTTATAATTGCTATTTAATTTCTATAATATATACTGTAGTGGAATAGGTTATGAGAATGATTTTTAAAAACAACAATGAATTTGTGTTTTGCTCCAAATAAAACGTCAAACTGTAGTCAGTATTTGACAGTTACTCATACACACTTAAAATAGAAGAAAATCATTTATCTAATATTTTCACACAGTTACAGAATTAAGATATTTAATTCATTAAAATTATTTACTGAAATATCTCAATGATTCTGATTCATACAACTAAATTAATTTACATAAGCAATAACATATTATCTGAGACTTTAGTCGAGTCAATTGATGACCTAGTCGATTTCTATTTTGTATGCTTGATTTATTTTCATTCACATTCACGCATATTGACGTCGAAATCGTGAATTTTGTGCTACTCAATACTTTCATAAAAAATTACAAATCGCTCGATCCTGTATATAATTTGATTATGAGAAGTATATTCAAGTGAATTGTATAAATTATAACTAAGGAGTCATGTTGAAGGTTCCTATTTCTTTAGATATTGTGCTTAAATATACTTGGTTGTGTTTGTTGAAATCTAAAATGGTTCATGGATTTGATTTGCAGGATAAAGGACAAGTTACTTTTGAAGATAAATGGCCTGCTATGCGCCCTATAGTTCTGAAGCTACTAAAGCAGGAAACAGTAACGCAAACAGAATGGCAAGATCTTTTCGGCTCTGTCCATTCTGTCTGTTTGTGGGATGAGAGAGGTCCATACAAACTAAGAGATGCGCTTCAGCAAGATATTATGATGTATATAAAACAGGCTCAGAACCGCGTACTAGCACAACGCGAAGATCAAGCGCTCCTTAAAGCTTACATAGCTGAATGGGGCAAGTTCTTTACACAGTGCAACTATTTACCGACGCCTTTCCGACAATTGGAAAATTCTATCAACAATGTAAGTAAGGTGTCTAGTTCCAACACTTCTAGCACTCAGAAAAAGAATAACAATAATAACATAGAAGATAGTTTGGTGAGAAAGCTAATGTTAGACTCATGGAATCAAAGCATCTTTATGGATATCAAACAGAGGCTACAAGACTCTGCAATGAAGCTGGTTCAAGCTGAAAGAAATGGTGAATCTTTTGATTCACAGCTGGTAATTGGTGTAAGGGAGTCATATGGTAAGTGACTTGTTAGATTACTCATTGTACTATTTAACTTAGGATGTTCTAATTACTTATAACTTATTTTGTTTCCAGTTAATTTGTGTTCAAACTCAGTGGATAAACTTCAAATATACAGAGAGAATTTTGAAGCTGCATACATGCAAGCCACTGAAGAATTTTATAAACTAAAAGCCAGTGAACAATTATTAGCAAATGGAGTTCAGTCTTACATGAAATATGCTGATCAACGCTTGAAAGAAGAGGAAGCTAGAGCTCATAGGTACCTGGAGCCAGGCAGTGGTAGTGTTGCAGCACTCACACAATGTTGTGAGAAAGTTTTGATTGGAGAGCACCTGCCCACATTGCTTGCCGAGAGTGCACCATTGATTAAAGCTGGTGAAACTGAGAAGTTGCAACTTATGTTCCGTCTTCTTGATAGAGTTCCTGAAGGAGTTACACCAATATTGAGAGATCTTGAAGCACATATAGTTTCTGCCGGCTTGGCAGATATGGTAGCCTCTGCTGATATCATCACTTCTGACTCAGAAAAGTATGTGGAACGTTTATTAGATCTATTCAAACGTTTCAGCTCATTGGCTAAAGATGCATTTTTGGATGACCCAAGGTTTTTGACAGCTAGAGATAAGGCTTACAAATGTGTTGTTAATGACACTACAGTGTTTAAGTTGGAATTACCTTCATCAGCTTTAATTCGCGGTAGTAAAGGCACTGCACCTGAGAGTAAATGTCCTGAGCTTCTTGCTAACTATTGCGACATGTTGTTACGAAAGACTCCACTAAGTAAACGATTAACAAGTGAGCAGATAGAGTCAAGGTTACGAGATGTATTGTTAGTCTTAAAATATATAGAAAATAAGGATGTCTTTATGAGATATCACAAGGCACATCTAACTAGAAGATTAATCTTAGATTCAAGTGCAGATTCTGAAAAAGAAGAAGATATGGTAGAGTGGCTTAGGGAGGTGGGTATGCCTGCCGACTATGTCAACAAACTGGCTCGTATGTTCCAAGATATTAAGGTTAGTGAAGACCTTAACACTCAGTTTAGGACTGATACTACACGGCATGATGCTATCAACATAAAGATATTAAATGCTGGGGCTTGGGCCCGTGGCTCAGAACGAGTCACTGTCAGCCTTCCATTAGAGTTAGAAGACTACATCCCTGAAGTTGAAGAGTTTTATAAGAAGAAGCATTCAGGTCGCAAATTGCAGTGGTATCATCATATGAGCAATGGAACAATAACATTTGCCAATTCTGTTGGTAGATTTGATTTGGATGTTACAACATTTCAAATGGCGGTCTTATTTGCATGGAATCAGAGACCGATGGAAAAGATTAGTTATGAGAACTTGAGACTTGCAACAGAGCTACCTGATCCTGAACTTAGGAGAACTCTATGGTCCCTTGTAGCTTTTCCAAAACTGAAACGGCAGCTGTTGTGCCATGAACCAGTGGTCCAGAACCCTAAAGATTTTACTGAGAATACTACATTCTGGGTAAATCAAGAGTTTGCTCTTGTTAAAAATGGTAAACCTCAACGCAGGGGAAAAATTAACTTGATTGGTAGACTCCAATTGAGCACTGAAAGATCTCAAATAGAGGATAATCATTCCATTGTTCAGCTTCGAATATTAAGGACACAAGAAGCCATTATAAAGATATTGAAGATGAGGAAACGGATCACAAATACTGCTCTTCAGGTAAGGATTGTAAATGTTCATGTATATCGGTGTGGTCACTACATTCTTACTAGTTAGATTACAATAAGATTTACATAGAATTTTATAAATTAGCCATGTTATGTTCTTCAGTGTATTCTCTTTATGAAATGCGATTCAATTTTCGAATCCAATATTATCGCGTCTAAATAAACATTGAAAGCGTTTTTATCAACACTAATCCATCAGCATACTAATGCAAAACAAATGTAGTAGATTGCAGCCCCACATAGATAATAATACCCTTATATACCTTAAATGTTACCTATACAAAGTTTTTCTATAATTTTTTACATCTCCATGTAATAGGGGTATATTCATATTGGTTTCAGATCATATGAGATATATACCTAGTTAACCATAATTATACAATAGTTACATCCTACGAATGACTTTTGCAATAATTAAACTATAAAATATCTAATTGCAGAGTGAACTGGTAGAGATATTGAAAAACATGTTCCTGCCTTCTAAGAAGATGATAAAAGAGCAGTTGGAGTGGCTCATCGAACATAAATACATGCGGCGAGATGATGAAGATATCAACACTTTTATATATATGGCCTAAAATTAATTATTGCAAGCATAACTGAACAAAAAATCAAATAAATTGTTTATCCAAGAAATGTTTCTCTCTAAAATGATTTCTCGAATTTTGATTTAATTTATAGGTAGTCAAGTTTAATTGAAATTAAATAATAATTTTATTTACATTTATATTTGCTTTTATTAAATACATATAATAGTTCAATGTATAAAAAACATAACATTAATTCTTTGCTGGCTCGATTGTCTCTCCACCTTGAATTTGACCCCAGCCAATCAACCTGTAATGAACAATGTTCCTTAGTACCAGTCTTTTATTTTTAATAAATTGTCGAAACTGAGGGAAGTCATTAGGGGTAGCCAGTGTTCAACAGTGAACGTTTGGTGGCCGATGTACATCGGCCAGATATAAATCAATATGTGGCCGATGTACATCGGTCAGATATAAATCAATATATATCATATGATGATGTCGAAAATATTTAAATCCTGTTTTTGTTGAAACTATGAAAACATGTTGGCTCACCTCCAATGATTTTCGACTCTCCTGCTGAGCGCTACTTTCTCTCCGATTTCCGTGCAGACTGGATTGGTCAAGGCGATCTTGGCTAAATCGGCTTTAGTGGCGATTACTCTTCCACCTGTACTCAAAGATCCAATGTTCACCAACAATACCTGTAATAGAATACAATTAATGTAAACTTTACATATATCCAGATATATTTCTTATGTAAGCAAAGATATAAGAACTGAATTCTCTAATATAAGTTACAATTAGCACACTTTCAGAATGTAGACTGTAATGCAACTGTATTAATGTCAAAATTAAGGTCCATGGTTTTCTAGGTAAAATACCGATACGATAGGTATTGCAAATGCATTTTCCTGTATCCTGTGCCTAAGATAACATTACTTAAAAGTTAATTTACGTACTTCATTTTTAGTCAGCTTCTGTACTTTAGCTGCTTTCTTGTCTCCCTCAGTGCGCACTCCAAGTAGACGTTTCAATAAGTAATACGAAACTTCAAGCTTCACGAAGATGCCTGGCAGTGCACCGACGGCGCCAAGTACCTGAGAAAAGCAAAATTATATTAGTACGTACCGCTATATGATACCAGTTATTCCTCGAGTTTGAAAACTAAAATACCTGTCCCACAAGTCGATCAGCACGGCAAAGCGTGGGTTCGATCTTAGTGCCTACTCCGATAAGTCCTCCGGGCACGGCATATTGCAGTTCATTCTGTTCAGCGAATAGTGACACGATGCGGGAGAAGATGGGGCGGCATGTCAATTTGCCGTCAGCGTCCTTGCTCACTAGTCCAGGCCGAACCTGTTGGATAAAAGTTGATTGAAAATCCACAATAACTGAAGAATTGCTATAATGTCTCATAAGTATGCATCTTTTACATTTGTGCAGTAGACATGAATTGTAAAGGTTTGAGTTTCGTGTAAAATGAAATAACACATTTTTGTGTTCTTTCACACTAAAAAATAACTGTTACTAACCTCGATCTCCATACCAACTGTAAGTACTCCTTGTAGGATTGAACCACCAGCGACACCGCCTCTAAGGTCATCGACCTCGCAACCAGGCTTGTTCACGTCGAAAGAACGGATGACAATCATTCGAGGGGGGGAGGTGAAGTCTCTCAGTGGGACTGGGATCTTTTTTGTGATATATTCACATAGCACCTATAAAAACATTTGAAATTATTGCCAGACAAATGATTAGCGGGCTTAATCTAAAGCGACGATAAAAGATCTCCCACAGAAATCGTATCAAGAGACAAAAGCTTACCTCAATATTATACTTCAACTGAGCAGAGATGGGTATGATGGGTGCTCCTTCAGCAACTGTGCCCTGCACGAATTTTACGATTTGTTCATGTTGCTCCTTAGCTTGGCCTTCCTTGACCAAGTCAATCTTATTTTGCAGTATGAGTATGTGTTTTAATTTCATAATTTCGATGGCAGCCAAATGTTCACTGGTCTGTGGTTGGGGGCAAGACTCATTACCTAAAATAAGACAATATTTATTAACCCGCCACTTGTAGCGATGGACACATACACCTCTTGCTTCATTTCATTTCAATAATAGAAAATAAAAGTGAAACAAGTATACCTGCGATGAGTAATAATGCGGCGTCCATGACCGCAGCACCGTTAAGCATGGTGGCCATAAGAATGTCGTGCCCGGGGCAGTCGACGAAGCTCACGTGACGCACCAGCTGGAAGCGGCCGGTGCAGGCGGGCCGTAGACACGGGAAACTGTCGTCCTTTGACGAACCACCCGATATGAAGCTTGTAGGCCTCGGACATTTTGGATTGTCACATTTGTAGATTTTTGCGTTAGCGTAACCTAAAACAAAAAAACATAGTAAAGTTTTTTACGGTGCCGTGTATCTGGCGGCTTAAGTGCATAGTGATGTGCCATATAATATAAAGCATGTAGGTATCATATTATATTTGTCAATCTACTAATTGTGAACCTTCATATATCATTATAATATTTGCCACTGGATACCTTTTGTACCCCGTGTTCCGATACTGGTATGAGAACGTGTGAAAGGTACTTAATTAGCATCTAGCATTATATTAGGTACATCTGCTCTAAATTATCACCAACCTATCGCACGCTACAAGCATGACTTCACTTGTATATTGTAGAAGACTTTCAGATTAACTTGGTCCACGTCTGCGATAAATTCTGTTTGTTCTGCATTTAACGTTCCATTTCAATATAAATTAAATTAGTCAACGAATGCTTGAAGCTTTCAGATAAACTTGTACCGAGTCAACAAAAATAATAAAAATGTGTTTGCCCAGCATATTGTTTCATTTCAGTATAAAATAGATTACAAAACAAAACAATTGTTTTACGTCTGATTCTTTAAAGTACCTCATACCTAATTCGAAAACCTATTTTAATCTTTTTTGATGCTCCTTAAATAAACGAAATTAACGAAGTTTATTAATTTCATAGAAGGTAAAATTATATTTTATGCATTACGTTATAAAATATTAAATTATATTTAATACGTTATATTGGTATACGTCCGAGGAAACCACACATCAATTCAAATTTAACAAAAAATACACATGGGTTTGGCGAAATAACGTTTTATTAAACTTAAAATTAACAAAATGGAAAGTCATCACAATGCACTAAAATTACAATACTATTCTATTAATATGAGACAAGTTAATCTAGAATTGTTCAGTAGATTAATTTGCTATTTATTATAATTTTTTTTTGAGTGGGGAAAATCATCTAATGACTTCTCCCGCCTTGAGTGAGGCGAGAAGGAGTATCAGATTCTAACTGACTTAAAAACACCCTATTCCTACTTCTGCTCTTCGAGTCGGAGCCCCGGCAACCCGTTAAGTCCTTCGCAGCTCCGTATCGACCTATAACCAATTAGGGCGCGTCTGCGCCGTACTGATCTGGTCTGGTTCTGATCGCTGTTGCTCCGCTCATCATCTGCATGCCCGTACTTACGGTGACCGAACAAGATTAACTTACTTGTACTTTAAGACTATAAAATTAAAATATAAACTAATAAAATACTATGAATTGTATAAATCCAGTAGAGAAACTAATTTTAATTGTTTTATTTTATTTACATCATACAGTTTAGCACCCCTATTATCAATAAGGCAACCATGATTTTATATCTACTATAAATTCTAGTGAGGAGTTTCTGTGACGAAAATCACTTTCAGCTGGATTAAAATTTTATTTAAGTCTACATCTTTGTAATTGGTACCAGCCCTACTGCCTTAGCAATACATTAATACAAAAATAGTGTAACACATATATCTCTAGACACATTTGTATAACGTTTAACAACATTTCTGTTATAACAGTCTTTAGATTGAGAGAAAAAATAATAGAACAAGAACACTTCTGACAATCCTTAGTATGTAACACAAAATGTAAAATTGATATTTCAGTAAAATGTATAAGTTTGAAAACTTAATAGAAAAATGTAACACTTGTTTAGTGAGATTCCTTTTATGCAGGATAAAGTTTCTCTGTAAACTGGTTCTTTTTTGTAATAAAATTATCTCATTGAGTGGTGAACAACAATCAAAATAAATATTTGCGACATTTTAAGGCACCACATTTACATTCTGTAAGATTCCTAAGCATAGCTCGATTCTGCTGCTGTATTTCAAATCGAGATTTGACTGGTGATACTGGTGTGGTACCTGTATTAGCTTCTGATCCACTTGGTATGTCATTGTCATATGAACTATCTTTACTTATACTAGAACCATTTGTTTCTATTTCATCACTGTCGGAAGCTTTTTGCAGATAATCAAAACACAGTTCTTCACCAATTTCTATATCACGGGTAGCAAAGAGAGCTAACATAGGAAGGTTAGGATCAAGACAATCAGCCCACACTGCCCATACCCCAAGATTAGGATCACATGAATGATTTATAAAATGTGAAACATTTCCTAAATGAGCTGCATCAACTACATATGGATTCTCAACAGAGTTAAAATCTAAATCAAACAAGTAAGTGAGACCATTTGCATCATATTCTCTTCCTCGTTTCTCTGCTTCTTCAAATGTTATTACTTCTCCAACATATTGACAAAGAAACTGTCCTTGCCTTATTTGCTGTTCTGTTTTTACTCCCCATCCACATCCATTTGATGTTCTAAAAATACTCAATTTAATATTTCTGCCACCTTGAACAACACGATTACAGCATTCTGAAGAGCACTTACAAGCTTTGTTACATTCGTAAATTGGAGTACCAGGTGCAACACGAAGTCTTTTCTTGGCAGTGTAGGCAAATAGGCCAGCTTGCATGCCACAACATGTTTTAGAACGACAATTGCATGCAGTACATTCACATCCAATGGGTGGATCATCAGGTATAGTGACACCACTGCCAGGTATACATTGATTAATATAAGTAAAATTTTCTGGTGGTCCAGCAAAGTCAAAGTTATTTTCTACAAGAAGTTTTTTTGATTTGTCAACTTGATTCAAGTGTTCTTCCCATTTTCTTAATTTCATTAACTGCTGACATCGTTTTCTTGTCATAACATAAAGTTGTAAGAGATCTCTTGTCTCTTGAACCAGCTCTGTGGCTTGTGCTTCACATTCTTGAGGTAAAACAATCATAGTAAGTAATTTTAATGTTAAACTATCTTTTAATTTCAGTATATCATTTCCCTCAATTTCATCAAATCTTTTTACAAGATTTTCTTCACTCAGCAAATTACCAAATGAAAGTTCTTCCTTTAGATTTTCTATTTCATTGCAGTATTTGAGTTCTTCTTCCACAAGGAATTCTCTCAATACACCTGGGCAGTTATCAAGATGTTCAATTGGTTCCCATGTGTTTTCACTGTCTGGCCAACCTTTCCATTTGATGTGAAAGTATTCCTTGCCAGATTCATATTTAAAATCAAGAATTTTTTCAATAATGTACTCCTGTGGCTCCTGAGAATTTTTCTTTTGCTTTTTAGGTGCAGGCATGCAGGCTTCTTCTTCAATTTCAAAACTCAAGTTCCTCTTTTTTGCTCTTTTTAACTTTTCAAAGAACTCATTTTCATCTTTAACATCTGCCCTTTCGCGGTACATTTTAATAACTGAGTCCGACAGGCGCTCTGCAACATACCATGTGTTTTGATTAATTTACAACCTTACAAGATCAACAAGCATTATTAATATACTTTCAAGTTTTCCAAATGTTTCACATGGTATATTGCATAGCATCTGAATAATTTTCATTAGTAAATAACAAGTAACTTTGTTATTAAAAAGTGTTTAAGCCTTACTTCTGAAAATTTATTACCAAAAATTATACAGTTTACTCTTGTCAATTTGAAAGAGACTGAATCCTAAAATATTTAGAATTCCTGAATGTTCAAAAATATCAAATGGTCCGAATAGTATTTTAAAAATAAGAAATTTGAGAAATGTGTCTAAAACAGGTTGGAATTTTAGGGCTCTTGAACAAAAAAATTTAATAATTAATTAATTTGTTTTTTCATTATAAATCTAGTATATTTTTAGTAAGTTTATTTATTCATCTCAGATGTTATTAATTTAATATTTTTAGCCAGCAATACAATAAAATTAAACAATAACTAATTATATGGAAAGATACTTACCTAACTTGATGGTAATATTCCTCTCTAATTCATTCTTGAATCTGACAGTCTGGACTCCAGAGATAGCCTTCACCACGGTTGATTTACCATGAGCTACATGGCCAATAGTACCAATGTTTATTGTCGCCTGTCTTGATATCACTTCAGGTGATAACGCTGACAGTTTCGTAACATCCTGAAATTTAAAAACAATACAAGTTAGATTTCATGGTATTTTTTTTATGTCATCATAATCTGGAGTTTTGACAATGACAATTATCTAAAATTTTATTATTTAACTATTTCATGAAGTAATTTTTAGTCAATTAATGTTGTGCCTAGTCAATTGTAACAAGTATCTAGTTTCCTCTCAACGTACATGTGTAAAATATGCACTAAAAGGTTATGTTGTTTTCAGTGACCATCAAAATAAAACTCAAAAACTAATAGGGTAATCTAATATAATATTAATGAAAACGGTATGTTTATAACTGATATTTTAGTCATTTTAACTCACCAATTTGGTTAGGTCTTGCTGATGCAAGTTCGACTGAGCACTTCGCCCTTCATTCGAAGCCATAATTGCGGTTTTAACACACTTAGTATCTTATAAAATGTTTTAGACAAAGAAATATTGAGTTCCTGCTCAGTTTTACAACATTGAGATAGTAAAATATGACTAAAATTAGTGAAATTCGCTAACGTAGGCAACGAATTTCAACTTGATGGAAATGAACGGAGATAGCGTGCCACTACCAATAGTGTGTGACCAAGTAAAAAACAAATTTAGTCGATTTTGAATGGTTAAGATAATACCACTAATACTAAAAGGTCTTTGAGAATATTTTGTATTGTATTTTGTATTATATTACATTTTATTTTATTTGTTAAAAACTGTAATAATTAAATACATTTTGTTTGCAGTATAAACGCATTATTTTGTTATATTTTTGGTGAAAGACACATTATAATAACGTGCGTCTGGCTGATGCATTAATGGTTTGTTTTAGTTTGGTTAGTTGAAGCTGAGCTGTATTCATCAAATGTACATACCAAACGGCTGCTGAACGGTTTAATATTGGTATAATATGAAAAATTCCGTAAAATGATTTTTAAACTAAACTCTATTTTTCTTGTAGAAATTAGTGTTAAGGGTGTCAAAAGACTATGCACACTTCTTGAGATATTTTTAAAAACTATGAATAATCAAAGATGGGCTCTTTGGGCTAGCCATTGAATAATTTAGATTGCGCAAGGTTAGAAAATATTAAAAGTGTCGATTACAACTCTTTAAACTTTTTGAATCACACACATATCTCAAAAATTACTATTAAAATATGGAAAAGAATCGAAAACTATATTATATTTCTTTTATTAAACTAGAACTAAATTCATAAATATACCTGAACAAAATATAAAATACCAATGTTACCACTATTCTTACTATCTTCTATCGTAGCTACCACATCATCGCTTTGTGATCGCTTACCACCAGGCGAGATACTTAGTGGTCAAACATCAGTCCCACCGTGGTCCCACTCACGGCCGTAATAAATTAATACGTCCATGGTCCAACCTAATCTTATCATATCAGTGAACCTAAAGTTTAAAAAAAAGTTTTACAACACTACATAGTCTACATAGTCTATGGTCTGTGGTATGGTGAAAATTTGACATTGACATTTGACAGTTTCGCTGTCAGCTGTGTAAATCACCGATCACGTCAGATTATCCAATCCAATGTTGTGTCATTAAAATCTGTCAATATAAATAAATTTTGGAGCTTTAGTTACCGCATTAAAATTCTGATAGAATCAATACAAATGTAAAAGTGATTTACAGTTTGATTAATTGTGAATTTAACCAATATGTTAAACAAAAACGAGGAGGTGCAAGAACAAACTAAAAGGTTACGGTTCAAGTCTATAACCAATACACAAAATTCGTCCGGCGATCTAAGTTTTGATAGAGGTGCGAAGGAAACAAAATGTAAAGGTAAAGTCGGAGATATACGGTATATGGAATGCTGAACTGAGTAGTAGCTAGACATCTTAATAATGTTATAATTGAATATTACAGATCCGGAGAAGGCAGCCTCTTTGTTTGCGTTTTTACATGTAGAACTAACACGAGGATATTTACTAGAGCACGATGAAGAACGGTTTTCAGCAAGGAGAGAAAAGGTTTATTCCTTTATTAAAATTCCTCAAGAATTGGAAAAATTTATGGCTTATGGGTTCTTTCAATGTGCTGACTCTCTACTGTTTGTTTACACATTCCTCCCATTGAGGTTTATAATGGCTATTTGGACCTTGTTTAGCAGACTTATCAGGAAATGTTTTGGGTATGTGACTACAATTGTATTGAAATGTAAATTAACTCTATTTTATGTAAACTTCAACAATCATACCTTATCCATAAATATTACAGGTTTTATTCAAATTCTCGCAAAAGTATATTAAAACCAGCAGAAACATGTGACATGCTTAAAGGTTTCATATTAGTAATTTGTAGTATTCTAATGTGCTACATAGACACTAATATGATGTATCATTTAGTGAAGAGCCAGAGTGTGATGAAATTGTATATATTTTACAATATGCTGGAGGTTGGTGATAGACTGTTCTCAGCTTTTGGACAAGACACTATTGATGCTTTATTTTGGACTGCCACAGAGCCAAGAGATCGACGGAGGGAACATTTGGGTGTAATACCTCATCTGCTGTTTGCTATGATCTATGTCTGTATCCTTTTAAAAACTACATAACATTTGATTTTATTAAAAATAGGATTTATTAATTACATTTTCCAATAAGAGTTAGTAGTCAGATAATCTCAATATTATTTCAAAATATTAAACCATTGATTTTGTGATGTTTAATAAGAAGGTAAGTATAACTAAATCAGGTTATCTACATTCCTACAAATTCCACTAATTGATTTAAACAACACAATTAATTTATCAGTGGTTGTCATTGCTACAATACTTGGCACAAAGTACAAGCATTTGGAATGCCAGTAATGTTTGCTAACCTTCATACAATAGATAGGGTTGAATACCACAGGGCTTTGTGTTATAGTTAATCAATTGATTAACAATTAACTCTTTACAGAAGTTTAATGAAACACATCATTTAGTTTCTACAATCTCTTATCAGAAATTAATTTAGAACTTGTATAATTCAAAGTAGAATATGGACATACAGTTGCAATTCATAAAAATTTCCTATCTTACGATATTATCCATATTACCTTAATTATGTTGTTGCATCTCTGTAAAAGCAATTAATGCAAATCATCATTATGAATGTGTGTGTGTGTGATACTAATTTTGTAATATTGTTATTTAATAATAATAATGTTCCTTAGCAACAATTTCAGTTCTTCACAGTTTGCTAGTATTGTTCCAAGCAACAACTCTGAATGTAGCCTTCAACTCAAATAATAAAAGTCTCCTTATCATAATGATGTCTAACAACGTAAGTATCAAATAAAAATAATGGCTTCGGAAGGAATAGAAATGTATTACAATTTCGTAATACCTATATACATAATATTTCTTACATTATAACAGTATTATTTAAAAATGTAAAACTTGTATTATTGGATTCAATTATCCTAATTTAAAATTGGTATGTTATTGATAAACTTAATTATTATTCAAAATGGTGATAAAACACTAAATAACTTATTTCAAGGAAATTCGACGATAACTACATAATATGGTGGTTTTCCATCACATACATACAATAATTCTTACAAATTGTACACTAAAACATACCTTAACCATAATGGAATCACTATCCAGTAGAAAACCATATGAAAAACTATTCAGTAGTTCTTGAGTTTATTGTAAACACACTATTTTAAAATGTGTATTTTTTTAGTTTGTTGAACTGAAAGGCAGTGTCTTCAAGAAGTTTGACAAGAACAACTTGTTCCAAGTTTCTTGTAGTGATGTTAGAGAGCGACTTCATTTGTCGGTGCTGCTATTCATAGTTGTGCTTCAAACTATGAAGGAATACATGTGGAAGGAGGAACGGTTCTGGATACTAGCGCCCGATTGTGTCCTAGTCCTTACTTTCGAGGTCATAATTGATTGGGTCAAACATGCTTTCATTACCAGGTAATTATTAGTTTACATTTCTATGTATATTCTTTATTTTTTCTTTTATTCTCCAGAGATCAGCACATGCTGAATGTTATAATACCCACTCTTTGCCATTCGGCATTGGCGAGGTTACTGCCATAAATTAGCTACAATTCCTGACTTTGTTTAACTGACAATTTTGCAGTTTGAACAGCTCTACAATGCTTGGCGACTTGGGGTCGCACCTGACCTTTTGTTATCAATCAAGGCTGTCTAATGTCTTTGAGATGTTATTTTTTATTGCTTACACTATTTTCTTTATATTTCGCCAGGTTCAATGAGATTCCCTATGGAGTATATAGAGAATACACAGTGAGTTTGGCTTACGATGTAGCACAGACTCGGCAGAAGTACGCGTTCAGTGACCACTCGGATTTAGTGGCACGGAGAATGGGCTTCATACCTTTGCCTCTCGGAGTCGTTATTACCAGGGTCCTAGTTCACGCTGTTAAAGTTGATGGGTAAGTGAAATTTTTTTTTTTGATTTTAAAATATTGTTCAATAGCATTGGCCTGTGAGTAAAGCAAGCTACACAAACTACGTGTTATAAAAGGATTTAACACAGGATTTTCTGTGTCATGGATGTGGTATAAATTTCGCCGTCATATCTGATCCCTTTTAAGAGTCTCTTATGAAGAAAGTTTGCTTAACACTGACTATACAATCTTATAATTCACAATAGAATTCATGCATGCACAATTCTAATTTTTCTGTTCTTCCATTTCAGATTTGCAGCAATCTTCTTAATAACTATAGCTTATTTGTGCCTAATATCAGTAAGAGTACTCGTTTCTATCGTTATACTTGGAAAGGCTTGCGATTTGATAACACAGCATCAGACGGAAAAGAATGAGAGTTATCACAATACGCCCAAAAGGTGAGAAACTTTATGAGTTCTTCAAGTTATCAACTTGAAAATTTATTTTGCTTACCCATAGAGATAATCTAAAGTTCCCCCATGTCCTAATTCTATGCAGAGGACACAGTAGTTATAATCTACTCTGTCTTTCGTAACATAAATCACGCCTTTTGTCCCCGGAGGGGTAGGTAGAGGTGCACACATTAGGGCACTCAATACCACTGTAAGTACAATGTAACACCCACTATTCACTATATATATATGTTATGAGTCCCATGTAATAGGAGGCACAATTTCATTTCACTCGGTGCTACTATTGAGAATTTTTTTTAAAACCTAGTAATGCTTTGCCCGACCCGGGAATCGGACCCGAGACCCTCTGTCCAGCAGTCGCACTTGCGACCACTTGGCCAACGCGGCAGTCTTTCGGTTTGAGTGAAAATAGAAAATCCAGATAATATTTTGTTCACCTGGGAATAGGCACCAAGAGTTTTGACCAACCAGGCGGTGTGTATACATTATTTTTTCTTTTCAGGGAGCCAAAAGACTTGACCCCAAAAGATAATTCGTTCGTCCACAAACCTGAAGCTGAGATGCCTCCACCGAAAAAGCCAACACAGTTGAAGTTTACAGTTCCAGAGAATGTTGTTTTGGTAAATATGAATAAAGCTTTTTTTATTTATTTATTTAAGTTACAGAACATCTTACGACACACGATACCACATCGCTTATAATAGACTATTGTTTAAGTTTAATTTGAAGTCAAGAATTAATAATATCAATGCTGAATTGATTGCACATCGCAACAGGCATGATGGGTGTTCTAGGTATCTCCTTACCAATAACGTCTTATTTTAAAACATTGACTATACAGTTGATGTACGTCCACTCAGGGCACCCTCTACCAAATACGGAAGAACCATTAACTGAATACATGTGGTCGGTGTAAAACCGAATACCTGCTTGCGAAGCAGTTTTCATGTATTGTTTTAACACGAATATACGAGACATCAGTGTACTCATCGATCGCGAACAGAAAGGGTGCATTCATCAAATAACATGAACATTTCTAACATTTATAACATTAACTAAAATCGCGGGTTACTGACGTGAATATACTGACAAAAGCTCTACTAGTTTCGAAGCATAGAGGGGTTCTTCCTCATGAGCAGCGTGCGCGGTCGCGGCGATGTCAGTGACCTGCGTATATTCACGTGAGTAACCCGCGATTTTAGTTAATTTCGTATGTCTTCGATAGTTATTATAAAATAATTTTTAACCTTCAACATTAAGATTAAGAAAGTGCTCTGAACTCTTTATAAGAATTAACTTTTACGGTCACTAATGCGTTTTATATCTACCTACGACCTTACACCCCTTATATGGATGTTATTTTTATATTTTTACAGAGTGAGTCGTTAGTAGACGCGTCGGTAGGTGCCGCGGCCATCTTCTCAAACAGCGCCATCGACCTAAACGGAGTGTGTTACCTAAATGACAAAATGAACACACAAGTCAAACAGGAGGCTGGCGATTTCCTTGAAACAGAATTGGTAAACTTGTTTCTACATATTTTTTATGATGAAATGAAATTTATTTAATAATTTGATTACATTATATTTCCCTCTTTGTCGTGTCAACTTGATTGGAGACTCAAGTAAAATACAATTTCTTATGGGATAAGCTGGTAAAAGAGCAGACGGATCACCCAATAGTAAGCAATCGGCGTCGCCCATGGACATCTGGAACACCAGAGGCGTTACAAGTGCTTTACCGGCCTTTTGGGGATTAGGATTTTGAGGATTCAGGTATTGGGGAGGTTTGGGAAGGGGGAAGGGGGGTAATTGGGCCTCTGGCAACCTCACTCACACGACGAAACAGAACGCAAGGCTTCACATCAGTGTTCTGTGAGTCTAATCTGTAATGGTATTAATTAAAACTAGAATTAGGTCGCGACGAAGACTCGTCGATAGGTCCACTCAGACGAGTGGACCTATCCCCATAGTACGCTTGCACCACACCAAGTATTTACATATAAATATTGACGTTTTTAAAGGTGGATGTCAGTAGAAGTGCCCCAGACATCAAGGCGGCCGCAGCGGTGAGTGCGCAGGCCGAAGTATTGGAGCGGCCACTGTCGCCCGACGCAGACGGACTCAAGCGACGCTCCGAGTCCGAGCCCAACCTCGTGAAGGCTGAGGAACACTACGAGGAGACCACATAGCACACCATGTGCTGCTTGGTAAACATCCTACTTTAATATACGCGGTCTATCTAGTCTTTCGTCTAATGACAGATTCATTCAACCGACAAAATAATGAAAATTGTTTATATAAATAAGCATAGAAAAGCGCTCGTTGCGTCTCGTTGTTTTTCTATTGTGTGTACAGTTTTGTACTTGGTTTGACTGGGTTTTTATATCGAATATTTTTAGATATTTCATGCCTAATATAGTTTCTGTTATCCTATGTCTTAGCTGAATGTTTGTTCGGAGTTCTATATAGTTGTAGCTATGACAAAGCGAGCGAAGGTCAATATATGGTAAAATCTTTCAGTACTAGTATCTTGCTTTCTATCAGGTGAATGACATTGTTAATATAAAAAATATTAAATAATATTTGTTTTTGAAATGCATGCTTCTTTTATTTCGTACACGGTAGAAAGGAAGTTACAGTTTCAACATATTTATTTAGGTAATGAAGTAACATTATATATTTAGTTACTTAATGACTAGTGGAGACAGACCACTTTGATTGGCTATTTTAGATAAATTAATATATTTCTTGTAATGTCTTAGACATAGGTTAGATTACCTTAATCGCCGATTCGGGAAGGTAAACGGACGTCATAGCTTAAATTCTAAGACTGATATGAATTAGGTGCTTAATATATTCATTTTCTTATAACATTTATTTATAATTTATTTTTGTTCATAAAGTTTGTTATATAACCTTACAAGTGTTACATAGTTCAAAGTTTTTTTTATCATTCCAATGGTACTAAACAGAATGATAAATACATACTTACATAGAAAGTTCATGTAAAAATATAGAAGAGAACAATATATTCTATTTTGGTGGACATGGATGCATAATTTTTTAAGTATATTCGTATGTTATAGAGTAAGATACATTCGTCATAGTATTTACGAGTCTAATTCTTCCTGCCTTTATTCTAAGTTACTGGTTAGGGTTGGCGCTACATGTCCTTTTTTCCATTCTCCTCTAGATCATATTCTATCCATCTATATTCGCCCTTTCCCTGTCCGTCCACCCAGACTTAAATTCATCACTCGCTTTGTCACATGAGTTTAATAACTTCTCATTACATGTCCATGACAAGACAGGCGGTAATTATAAACATAAGCAGTTTCAGCAAGTAGGTGGAAATTGGTGGAGGGCAAAATAAATGAAATTATAAAATGTATTTTATGCTACATTACTGTACAAATTAAACGTTGATTGCCATTATGTACAAAGTTACTTTTATACTGGACCAACAATTTAAATTAATTGGTAACAATGCTAAAATGTTTGTAAATACTAATCATTTCTTTGATGATTTAAGTTTGATTGGATTATTTAAGAGTCCAGTATAATAACTTATCACTAAATTATTCATAGTTTAATTAGCAGATTTAAACTTATTTAACGTGTAGCATTAAAATAAAATTTATATTTTTTATGATTTTGACGAATTGTATCTGTTCCTATAATATGTTCGTGGTTTTATATAAATTATATCATCACTCGTTTATTTAATACTCTTTGATTTGAATAATAACCCTTTCCCTTAAGGTTACGAAATTGGATGTGTCTAATATTGAATTAAAATCTAATATAAGTTAAGTTTCAAGAAGTTCTATATAATTCAAACGACAATTTTAAATATATATAGTTAATTAACAACAGGAAAACGTTCATAAATTTTTAACACGATAAAGACTCAAGGCTTTATGAATTATCAAGTTTTACAAATACAGAAGTTTTAGGATGTTACACATAGTATAGTTTAATGTATTAAAACACAATTTACTACAGACGTAAGACGACCGTTAAATGACACGAGCACAACAGTAATATTTTTTAACACCTTCGCTTTAGTAAATAGCGTACATAATTTTATACCATATTGTAATCTCTATATGCTCTGACTAATTAAGAAAAAGAAACCAACAAAACATTTATGGCCCCAATGCAAAACCTTGGGGTAGTCCTACTACTTATATGGTAAATAATGTTCAGAATTTGCTTTAATTTGAAAACCGTTTCAATACTTAGCAAGGAAATTAAGTTATTACGTAAAGGTTTATTTATTACTAAATCTTCATAATATTATAAAGCGGTTCTAGACTATCATCACACCTGACGAAAGCCTATTCAAAGTTCAGAAAGTATTAATTGTTATTACTTTATTATTGTTATTAATACTTTACTATGATAATATTATATCAGTCGTTTGTTTTTATTCAAACAACTATTTATTATTACCCTGTGTTTTATTAAAGCTCCAAAGATCCTAAATATCCGAATTTTACAATCGAAGTTAGTTTTTTCTTTGAAATCGTATTTTATTTAGTTTACTAATGCCATCTATTTTATAATTTATTTTATTACAATGAGATGGTTCTGTGGCGTCATCTTGCAGTGAGCTATTGTACTACGTTGTGCACTCCTGGCTCACCACAAGGTTGCGTCATTCGTTGTTGAGCCAAAATGGCGCTATCTCTCCGTAGACTATGTTTTATCTATAGTAAGGTAGATGGCGGTAGTAAGACCAAATTGCTTTTTGAAATAAAATGGTAGAATTTACAGCTCGATAGTAAATTGCAAAGTATATCGGTCACGGTTCTCTAATAGAAGATATTATATCTATGTTTGTTTTCGTTGGTATAGTTAATGGGTCGCTGACTAGTAGTATTTTTAATTAATTTGACATTTATATAAATGTGTTCTTAAAGAAATTAGTAAATAGAGAACTGAATTTTGACTAGAATTTATTTAACTGAGTACCTTAAGGTGCATGCATTTCTATAGGCATTGGGTATGTGCTGCAATAGCTCCTTTTAATATCTTTCCATTCATATTATGATGCATTCCATGATCATGGGCCTAATATACTTACCATTTCTAACTGTATGTATGTAGATGCGGGGTATTTTCTGGTTTGCTCTGATATTTTGATGTGGAAGGCAAAATATAAACTTCAAGAATCAAATTTTCAACAATTTGTATTTCGTCACCTTAGGTGGATTCATTAAATAAAAATTTCATTTCTCTTATATACACATTAAATTCAAATTTAGTCAGAGTGTATTTACAAATATTTTAATTAAATAGAATTTAGTAAAAATTAGTGAGATTTAACAATACCTACTTATAACTAGTTATATTTATAGAACATCAACAACATCTTTCACTCGGGTGAAATACATAAAATAGCTTAAACAATAATCATCCACAATTTCATAAAGAATTCGTTTTCCATTCACTATCAGGTGAACACCATAAAAGTTAGATATCGTATTTGTTGAAAGTCCTTTAAGAGCTAGGTATATTAAGATGAAGTGTTCGTGTGATCGAAGCACGGGATTGTGTGAATGTAAAACATAATGCAACAATGCGAGATCGCTCCACCACCACCCGACCCGCCGGCGCACACGTCGCCGACGGGTGCAAACAATGGGCAAGTCGTAACTCGTAACCTAATACAAACACCGTATATCAATAACGTTAACGCGAACGCGATGCAACATTATGTAAAATGTGTAAGAATTTAGTCTTTTCCGTTTCAATTTCACTCGTTTGTTTAACATGAATACGATTTATAATACCTATCTACTCTAGCCTTGTCTATCGGAGACTTCGTCTCTTCTATAACAGTAAAAACATTATAAACTCGTACACGACATTCTATTGAAGCGCGGGAGCATGCCCGTGTACGCGCACGCAGGCGCGGCGCACGAGCGTGCTCTCGCTGCTACATCCTACAAAGGCTTCGTAAGCGACTGGATAACTTGGGAACGGTGCTCTATAGTTACGTGCTGGCGTTATGCTCCATCTAAGTGCTCTGATAGTTGAGTTAACTGATGACAAACACATGTTAGAGTAAATGTGATGATTTGTGCACGGTGGATTGAACCGCTCCCATTAACAGTTAGTGGGTTACATTGCAGGCGCAGGAGTTAGCAATATTATTGTCAGATTTCTTAAATTCATAATGACCGACGTTACTGAAAGGCCCACCCTGTAGTTCTATCACGGTTTATTCGGTGAAACTTTAACAGTCTGTTGTACCTATATCCGGATTGTTACGACTGCGCTGTTTGTGATACATTCCTATTCTAAGATCATGATGTTTGTACTAGTATTATGTATGTACCCAACAAAAATATTTTACATGGAACTTGTACAAAAGTATCAAGACTTACAAAGGCGGTTCCATAAAAACATTTTTACTGTATTTATGAAATATCAAAGCTACGACTATTTTGTGCTTAACATTAATGAGAAAAACAAGGAGAGACAACATTAAGTTTTGAAACCGCATTACTTAAAAACTCGAAACGGTTTTCGTTTAAATATTATATAAGTGAACGAACGAATAAGAAATCCTACAGTATATAGGATACCTTATTAAGTTAATAACATTGGAATATAATGCAAAAATCTCTTAAAGTTTGTAAGTAATGCAGTAGATATAATAATAATTTACCTAGGAACCTAGCGGTCGACTGTGACCGCGCCCCTAGCCGACAGTGTAACATCGTCATCACAGTTACTGAAATCCAAAATATGAATCTTACACATAGTTACAACTATACAGAAACTTATGAGTATTATAAATAAAGGGCCTTCACTACGATTGAAAATAATTATTAATGATTAAGAGATCATAATTTAAACGCTACATGCTAAACTTTTACTAGATTAGTCTATGTAATAATACGTACACTATAAAAATATATGCCACTGGGAAAAGTTCATAGTGAAATTACTGAACAACGAGTGCACGAAGAGGGCAACACATGGTGTGAGCGAAACAAAGAACATTAGTGGAAATGTAGAGGAACCATATCACTTGGAATATGTACCAGAAGCAGACTTGAGCAAATTTAGTAAAATTAAACGTTTGAGCAAGAGAAGATCATGACAGCAGCTGTCGAAACGTAAATATATATATGTATATACCTACGGTTAGTAATGGCAGACGTTATATTATCTAAACACAAACATAATAGTCGACATTCTCACGTTTATACTTTATCTTCGACTAGAAATATAGTATAACGAAATAATCATAGTTATCACTTATTCAGCAGTCGTGTTATACTTATTTAATTACATAATTATGTAAATAAAAATAAAAATTGCAGTGGCACGTTATAAAGTTAAATTAATGGCACAGTTTCACGTTAGTTTGTCAAACAAAAGAATATTACATACATATACCCACACACTCGGTAGGTACCCTAGACAGAGTAGGTTTACCCCAGAATTTGTCACATACTTATTTACTTAGATATCAATTAGTTCCCGCTGTCGACTGTCGATGTCCAGAAGACGGTTTCAGTCAAGTTACTTATAAAGTTCATCTCCGTAACAAAACGGTCACTTCTCGTAATACTACAACAACGTACAACTAATCGATAGCATAACAAGAGAATATCTTTCCAGACACCGCTAAGCCTATCCATTGGACTGCCATCAGACAGAAAGATATGTGTTCACATAATGCCGAGGACGACAGTGACTCTAATCACCACTCGAGGCGACAAAGTTCTCTTCGCATAGAAACGTAACGACACACACACTGGACACATTAGGCCACATCGCTTCGTATCTACGTTTGTTCCCAGTCAGTTTTTCAATTAACCTATCTAATTAAATAAATACATCGAGCAAATCGAATCCTACCATAGTAATTACAAATATGTATAAAAAGATATATATAAATTTCAGTGAATTTACAAATGTAGAGTTAATAAAGCTTTGTTAAAGACAATTCATTTACACCTAAGCGATGAAATCATTCGATAATTTCAACGTGAAAGTATAAAAAGTTCAGTTGTCCGTGTAAGAGTCACCGCCACTGTTGTCACTGTCGTCAGAAGACTCCGAGGAGGGCCGCGCGGCGGTGGCCGTGGCGGCGGCTGACTGCTAGAGCGAGGCGTGCCCGTGCTCGTGGTGGTGCGCGCCGCCGCCGCCGCGCTCGCGCTTCAGCCGCTGCTTCAGGTGCACCTTCGCGTGCCGCTTCTTCTCGTCAGACCGCGCGAACTTGCGACCGCAGACATCACACGCGAATGGCTTCTCGCCTGTGTGGGTTCGTACGTGCGTCGTCAGATGATCTGATCTGCTGAAGGAGCGCATGCAGATGCGACACTGGAACGGTTTCTGGCCCGTATGGATGCGTATGTGCCGCGTCAGCTCGTCTGATCGCGAGAATCTGCGGTCGCAGCCTTCCACTGGACATGCGTATGGTCGCTCGTGGACGGGGGTTTTGCTCGGCCTGTTGGGATACTTGCGGGGTTTGACCGCGACGAGCCGCAGCGGTTGTGCACTCTGTTGATATACTTGAGAAAGAATCTCGTGCCCTTTACTCGTGGACGGGTTGTATTCGGCTAGCTGCACTGGTCTATCGCTAGGGCCGGCCGGGCTTGGGTACGGCTCTCGCTTGGGAAGGCCGGAAGGCCCGGGAGTGGGCTGCGGCGCGCTGGCGTACTCCTGCGTTTCCCACGTGTGCTGTTGTTGCGGCTGTGGCGGCGGGCGGTATTCACAGTGCTGCGGCGGTGGACACGGCTGCGACGGAGCGCAGTAGGGTTGGCACTCTGGCGGGAGCAGCTCCACGCGCTCCTCATACTCCTGCTGGAAGTACTTGTCGACGCTGCCGGGGCCGGGGCCGGGCGGCAGCAGCCACTGCAGAGGTGGCGAGGGCGCGCGCTTGCCGGCACTGCCGGCTGGCGGCCCGTATAGAGATGCGCTTGCACTAGATGCATTGCTAGCATCCTCGGCGCGTGCGCCCGGGGACAACGAAGCTTCATGCTTGTGTCGACGTGGCGAGCACCCTAACGATAGCTCATCGCCTGTTAGTGTACCTGCAACAATATAAAAAATCCATTAACATTCTGTTGCAAAAAGTTAAATATTGACTTGACACTGATTGGCATGATTGGTAATAAATAGAAAACGACCGTAAAAAATTAACCTTTGATTAGCTAACAGTTATTGATTGTTTCAAAGGCGTAGATATAATTATGTGGAACTCGCGAATAATAATTGAAACCTTTGAATACGTTTGAAGTTAATGTTATTAGCGATAATAAAAACGAATGTTTACGGAATGTTAGTATTAGGTAGATTTTTGCATGTGTTGTAGATGCGACATGCGGCACGAGCCCGGCTGAGCGGATGGCGCAATGCTACGCGGCGCTCGATAACGTAGGAAGTCGATAAGTGCGTATCACTAACCTATCCGGACATGTACACTCTGAACGATCATTTTGACCGTTGACCATCACCTACTGGGGAATATTTTATTGCTAATTTATTATTCTTTTACGAAACTTTTATACTACATCTTTAAGTTTCTAACTTTTATTGTTTAAATTTCAATCAACGTTGGAATCACAAACACACCTACAAAATTTAAAATGATAAAAAGCAACTAAGTGATATGTGAGCAGGTCTAAATATCAAAAATTAATATTTCAGTAATTTATTGACTGAAAGCGAGCATAATATAATTGAATAAAATGAAATGTGAAATTTATTTCTAGTTTTATTTGAATTTTTTTTTTCAATTTCATTTAATCCAAATTAACTAAAATTTGGATTCAATTAATCCATTCGATTTCAACATTAAAAATATTTCCGTAAATAGTGACCGTGATGGCCCAGTGAGATCATTACTTATTGAGTGCTACACTTAATGTAATGATACATATAATTGAAATAATTTATCAAGAAAATTTAAAGATGAAACTAAAAAAATAATAATAAAAATTTAATGAATTAAAAGATTTTGAATTTGACTGTATATCTACTCAAAAACATTATTATATTTAATTATTTCAAATACTTAGTTCATTATATCATCAGGAAGAAAATTCTAATTAAAAAAATTACAAATTGTCTGTTACAAAGAAAATGATTCACTTTTTTTCTAATAAAGGGTTCACTAATTCTAAAATTGAGTTCTATATAAAAATTGTTTTGTATATTAATGAAAGGTTTCCTGGTTATATTTACCCCATGTGTTATATCCAACATCTTGATATTTTTAGATAGTGAAACGCACTTAACGATCATGATAGAGCACGACAAGAGACGGGTGAGGGTGGCGCCGGGCGCCGGGCGCTATATACCTACTTAGTGCCGATATCTAGGTGGTTAGGTACACAGGGAAGCTTCATTCAGCTTTGTGTATCGATCCGAACATATGACACGGGCCGCTGAACTTTCAATTTCACTAAACACTGTAACTTGAACCGCGCGGAAAACTTTTAGCTTTGTCGTAACGCAAAAACTCAAGGCTATCACAAAACCGATCTAATTACCAGTAAATGCACAGAAAACGTAAAGAATATCGAGGCTCAATCGACTTCGAAGAGCGATTGTTTATTTACAACGTTATCGGTCGGCGGCCGGCGGCCGACGGGGGCGAGGCCGCCTGCGAGTGGCGGTGGAGCGCGTGTCTGCCGGGTGCACCGGGTGCAGCGTGGACTCGCACCTGATATCGACGGAGGCTCGAGCAGCGTCGGGAAGAAGGCGGGCAGGTCCGACGTGGTGACAGGCGTGTTCAGGTCGGTCGGCGTGCCGGCAGCAGGCGTCGGCGTCGACACCGGCTTCAGCGCACAGTCGAACCCGAGCGCGCCCACATCAGCCAGGGAGAGCAGGTGCGGGCCGGATGGGTGATCCGCATCAGTGCCCATCCCGTCCGGCACCACCTGCTCCTCGGCCCACGGGCCGAGTGGAATTACGAACAGCGCCAGCGTGAAAACGGCCTCTCGCGTGGCCGGTGCGAAGGGGACTGGCGCCGCGCGACCCCGCGTCGCAGTTTTATCAATGGACTCGCGGTCCCATATTCGGTAGCGGCGCGCGCAGCTCCGCCAATCGCGCGGCGCGTTGCCCCCCCTGTGCTGACGTCACCACCCGACGCCGCCTACCGCCCGCGCCGCCCCCCGCCACACGCTCGGTGGCTCCGAGCCTCCAGTGCCTCCTGCCCCCGAGCCCCGACACTGAGCGCGAGCCTCCTGACTACGACCCACGTAGCTGTACATACCTACTCCTCCTTCATGATAATTACAAATTAGCTATCTACGAACATTCGACTATTGATCTATACAAAGGAGATATTTTTTAAATACCTAGAACTTTACGCTACTTTGTTTATCTATGAAACAAGTAGGCAGAGAGAAGCCTACAGTTGTTAAATATAATTTCATGACTAGTTTTTCCGGGCGCTACTTAAAATTGATTTTTTCAGGTAATTGAGTGATTGCTTTTTACAAAATAGAAAATATTATTTGCAATTTATATTGAACGTGGAAAAATTTTAATTGTTTAAAAATGTATAAAATATATCTAAACGAATTTTATCCTAGAACAATACCTGTCTATTATTATGTGAATGTAACAAAAAATATTTTACGTCGTAGAGTGGTCTCTACGTTTTTATGTTTAACGAGGATGTGATTTATATATTTATTTATGGCGACAGTATAATACCGGGCTTATAAACGAAATAAACTTATATGTAAAATGCGTAGCGCAGGAAGCTGCCAGTGGAATCCTTAAACAAGATCTAAGCTAATAAAACTGTTGGGACTGTTCTAGCACATAAAATTTTATAATAAGTACCTATGCAAATATAGTTTTTGTAGTGAGAATAATAAAAGTAATTTATTACTTAGTTGATGTTTAAATTCTGATCTTATAGATAAGTAGAATTTTATGTTCTCATGATCTATATTCTGGTGATACATATATTTTACTGGTCTAAATGATAAACACAAATTAGTGATGTATAATACGACAGCTAATAAATATTAATATATAAATTCAATCCGTACCTACTGCTTAACATTTTAATATACTTTGAACTTTACGTCCATGTTAATATATGTTATTAATGTACAATAATATATTTTTATTTTATTTATCTCTAGATAGGTATATCTAGTGAGATATACATATTTAATATTTTTGTAAGATTTATACATTCAGTAAATATAATATGAAGGAATTTTATCTGTTTATTTTTATCGCTGTGTAAAATCATTTTTATTTATCAAAATGTGGTCTTAATAAAAAGATAAGTACTTACTAGGTATAGAAACTAATATCGATAGATATATTCTAGGTAAAGACATTATATTTTAATGAAAATGAAATATATCTACATTTTCAAAAATATTAATGTAACTGCTATTTGTTTTCACACATAAATTGATCATTTATATTTGTTAATAAATCAGTAAATAAGTGGTGGATTGTGTAAACGTATGGTTAAGAGTAATTATGTGTTAGGTGTAGGTTTATATTGTGGGCGGTTGACCTAAGCCACTCAAGATCAAGGAAATACAACACTAGACACTTATACATATGTAGATAGTATATATACCTATACCTACCTATTAACATACATTTCATACAAAATAATTGGGGCTATGGTTTCTTCGAACAATAGATGGCAGCGCCATCTGGTGTTTTAGAAAGCGGTCAGTTTGCCCAATCACTGTTAAATTTGAATGACGAATAGTGTGACATTAAGTAATACCTTATTGGCCGAAAAGACGACAGTGGCGCACTCGCTCCATCCAGTGAGCAATAAAACGACAGCCCCCATTCCAGAGCAGAATGTATTTGCAGGTTATGTGAGCCGGCTTATACATATACAGCTGATTGAATAACCTATCTATATATATATTTGTGTAAAATAGTAGAGAAATTGAAATATTTAATGTTTTGGAAAAAAAATTAACGAGTTCTAACGTAACCAATACCGAAACTTAACCCAAAATCTCCGGATTGATCTAGGTTTTTGTCAAAATTTTGTATTGAAATCAGTTAATAATTCTGGATGTAAGGGACTATCTCTTTCAACCAAGCTACCTAGCGTGGAGAAAATGCAAACCTTCTTTTTTGGAGCAGGCCCAGAATCTAGCAGTTAAATTATCACGACAGCCTTTGAGATTGTTAAAAATGTCAAAGATTGTGTACCTACTTTTAATTAGCGCAACGTTGGTAGTTGTTAATGAGACAAAACAAATCAAATCAAATATCTGCAATGAATAGTAAAAGTAGATAATTTTCATCTTATGCGGTACGGATACCTTTTCATTTCCCTAAGCATACAATACGTATAAGTATGCAGAACTGATATGTTTCGGGAATAAAAGATTTAGTTATCACTCAGTACCTATGTCCGTTTTTTACTAGCATATCGCAAGATTTTCCTATTGAGCAAAGATGAACAAAGAACACTTAGTCAAACCGAATTCTTAAGATCCAGGATTCGGAAGCAAAAGACCTCTTAAAGATATCATATCCGCCTAAATAGTTTATTATGTTCTAAGCGTAAATTTGTATGCAGAACAAATCCGAATTACTCGAAAAACTTAATTGTGTATAATGATTTCACTCAAATTTTCCGCGCAACAGGAAACTCACAAAATTCCCACGGTAGGTACAAGATTAACAACATTAGCGTCAAATAACCAATATAGAATGTGATTAAAACAAAGGTGAGTAAAGAGCAAGGAATCTGTTTTCAAGAAACCTGGGTATTTTGAAACATGAAATCTTCATAAAGAACAAGACGAAGGTATTTACGTGAAGTAGGGATCATTTACGGATACACTGCCGTCACTCGTCACCTAATTAGTGACGTCTGAATATTTTCATTATTATTCAGAAGAACACTTTTTTAGCTTAACATAAACTGGTAATTCTTTCAGCAGTCAGTTTAATGTACATACCGGGATTTTGAGATCTTCTCACATTTGATTAAATTTAAAAATCCAGGCCCCAATCCAATGTGTACAATAATTAATGATGCACCCGATAATTACCCTAACATTAATTTGTAGCAAGT